GGTTGGCATGGAAGTGGTTAATTGAATATATGAATATCTGTATTTATCTTAGTATTCATTTATGTAGCCTCTTTCTGCAGGCCCCCTAGTGGCCATTCTGCCAGCTGAATGGGAACTGATATTTTTAATTAATGTAATGTAATGCAATAAAATATTTTTCCTCATAACTCTGCTGGCATGTTAAGTAGGACACTGTTGGCTCTCTCTATGTAAAATGTCATGACTCTATGTTGAGCTGCTAAGAAGTAATGAGGGGAAAATAGCATTTAAACGCCATAAAAGACTTTAACAAGTGCTGACTTGCTTGCTTACCTACAATAATGTGAATCCAGTTCATTTCCAGTTTGTATATAATGTTCATTTCTATCAAAATATATTCCTTCAATGTTATTGAGGAGAAGAATGCATAGTTCAAATGAGGAACCTTTTCCAGAACAGGCGGAAATTGTTTTTTTATGGCCACTGTGAAAAAACAAAAAAAATGAATTTTATGTTATTTTATTTGTTTAGAAGAAGTAGCATTACCAAGTCAAGAGAAATAAAAACTCACTAAAATATGCCACCCTGTAAAGCATTAAAAAATAATTTAAAAGTCAATGTTGTTGGATCAGATTTCAGTTTGGCCCATGTCATACGTCTTTACGTATTAATGTCAACTAAGACTGACTTAAAAAGAAGGTCTTGCTCGATGTGTAGGTGCAAATGCAAAATCAGCTTCATACTGATGAAGATATGATGATATTAGTAGATAATTCACTCCTTCACCAAGTTTTGACTGAGTTCTCTTTGAAAACTCACTTGCAGCCATCAGATTCATCTACCCGGGGAAGGGGTTTGAAGCACAAACCATGTTTAAAAATGTTCTTCCCAATGTTGCGTGCAATTACACATTTCCACCAGAGAGGTCTCCAAATCCCCAAATCCTACATAGTACAGCTTTAAATACATTTTCAGATAATTTGAAACGAAATCGCAGAGCATATAGTAAACAGACAGTTCTGGCATCTCATGTTTAGCAAAACTGCAATGATTATAAGCAGAACTATGTATAGAAACATTTACAATAGCAATAACAACTGACCAACAATAGGCAAATCAGGAGTGATCATGTCTTAAACTATCTGCGTGTGATAAACACGTGTTCGTCTGTTTTTGTTTTTTATTCATAACTGTATAAATAGCGTAAATGATTACAGCGCTCAGATTGGAATTTGGGCAGATACCTGCACAGGAAGGGATTTCCTCCTCACGATGCCCATTCGCAGTGTTAAGTGTCATAAGAAAACATCTGGAAGGCAAATGAACTTGACCTGAACCGAGTCATAAACACAGGCTTCCTTTCTCGCAGCTGGTGGACAGAAAGACAGCCGCTCCTCTGTAAAACAATGTTCCCTGTTTTAAAACCCAGCTACTGCACATCCCACAAGACAAGACTCTCCAGCTTTGACATCCGCTCTGCTCTCAATCCTCAAACGCTTCTATTTAGATCAGCTAATGACCCCAGTTGGCGCCCGCGCCAAGCTATCAATTGTATATTTTTCTGTCACATTTCTTTTCGTAAGTGGTTCATATCATGAACATATCATTTAGATGCTGTCTGGGTGCCAGTACTGAGTGGAGGCAAGGTGCCTAGGCAAACAAATGGTTTTGTGATTTGTAGAAGCAGAGCGTTCGCTGATCCAAGATCCAAACTATACGATTTCTATTCTTATGGGTCTGCTAGCCTGCAAAATCCAGCCGAACAGATGGACCCTGGGTTGCGTTTTCACTTTGTCTCTCTTTTCTTTCCTCCTTCCTTCCTTTCTTTCTTTCTCTATTAGTTGAATGGATATTATTTAAACTGCAAAAAAAAGAGAAAAGTGTAATAAAAACATATTGACATATTTGAAAAATATGACAACCTGTATTGTAACCATGTTACAGGCCAAATGTAGTTCTTCTTATAATACACAAACACGGTAACCTGGTGCGCAACATGGTAGTTGGTAAGACTGGCTCTCCACTGTTGTCGGAAGAAAACCTCGTATCTCCAAAATGGTAACTTTACAAGAGAAGGAAAAAACCTACTTTACTTTTAATATAAGTCAATGGAACCAGACGTCTTTCCAAGTCATTTTGGGCCGTTTCTTTTAGTCCATTCATCAAGCGATTTACATATAATGTAAAGGGCAACAGGCAATTTCAAATTATGTAAAAACCTGAAACATGTCAAAAATGGAGATATGAGGTTTTCTTCCGACAACAGCGATATGACAGTTTGAAAATATTTTAATACTCAAAAAGAGCCCCTGCAGGTTAAATCGGCTTAAAGTATCATTATTACGGTTTCCTGGCTGAGGCCGCAGCCCCCCACAGTAGCGCAATGGACGGAAAAAGTTAAGGATGTTTACTGTAGGGAAAGTATAACTGCAAGATTACATTTGAAAGCAGACATTTTTTTGACTAAATGGTCCTCAGTTATTACATATTTGTTTATTTTTTTCCTGTTTCTTTTCTTCTCACGTAAATGAAAGCACCATACACTTTACTTGTCTTTGAAGATATAACTGTACTTGAAGATATAACTTCTGTATAAGAAGTTCAAAAAAAAAATCGGCTTAAATTAAGGCGTTTATGATAGACAAGCACAAGGCTGCCCCTTCAGATGAGCTAACACTAGATCTAACAGTGGAGATGATGAGGGTTGAGCTAAAAGGTGCAACCTAAGCTGGTGTGGAGGACTCATCATTTCTTTTTCCTGAGTGGATGATGTGCCATGTTAGTTTGTCGAGGTAGCATTGAAAACGAGTGTGTGTCTTTTCACTGTCCCTCATTTTAGCTAACCTCTGGCAACCTAGTTTGCTAGCCTCGGGTAGCCTAGCGAGAGATACAGCTGTACTACCGCAGACTTCTGTCACTTTCTTGACACGTCTTTGGGAATGTGCTCACGTTAAGTAAAGTACTACAGCTTCTTGTCATGTCTCCCCCCTGTATATTTTCTTTCTGACCAAATAGTGATTTATGTCTTAGTGTAGTGGATTATCTGTGTGCACGCCTGCTACATTAGCAGTCAAAAGTTTGGACACAACTTTTGTAGTTTTCCACTTTTTTGGAAAAATAGTGCAGGAATCAAAACTATGAAACAATGGAGCTCTTTAGTGACTTTTATTTTGCATTCCCCCCCTTTGCCTTGATGCTTCGCATGCCCCTGGCATTCTCTCAAACAGCTTTGTGAGGATCCAGAAATGCTTTTAGAGATCAAGAGGTCAACAGTTGAAGATTCAGTAGGATGTGCCCAGACTTTTGACTGGCACTGTATGATCAAACATACCTTTATGTCCAGTGTAAAAGTCCCTGCTGACTCCGCCCTTCTTTATCATGCTTATCACTGTAGCTCCGGTAGCGAAAAGCAGTATAGCTCTCCATCTCAGCCCAGTCTTCTCACTTCATTATTCTCCTCCTCCTCTCTCTCTCTCTCAGTGAGTGCTCCTGCGCTCTGTGGCAGTCTGCCCAGGTATGTACGGGCATGGCTGAGGCATCTGGGGCAGCTCCCACACAGTGGGTTGTCCTCTGTGCTCTCTCTCTCTTACTCACTCTCTTACTCACTTTGGCAGTCACCACTGCTCTCTGTTACTCTGCTCAGGAGGAGTTTTTTTTGGATAAATCCTTAGAAATCTAGATTCATCGTCTTTTTGCTATGCTTTCAATGTCCATTTCATAATTATTTAAATGTAAGGCCCCTACGAAATGAGACCCTCAAATAAAAAGAGCATCACTTCATTAACAGCTACCAGCGCTGCTCTGTAGGCGACCCTGCCAGTCTGCAGTGACAGCAGAGGAGGGTAAAGTTCAGCTCCTCACTGCTGGGCTTTAGTTACATTTAGGGCATCATATGCCTTCAAAGAGGAGGGCAATTATTTATTATCACCCACCCCTAATTCTTCAGTGATATGAAGCTGAAGTCAGATATTCACCAGCTTCTCATTCGACTTTTCTTGTTCCACCTTAAATGGAGCAGCAGTCACATTGTAGCGCTTCAGGAGTCAGTACTGCTGGACTGTTTAAGGTGGAATGGGAAATTGAGCCAGCTAGCTACCGAGACATTAGCATAATATTAGCGATTTTATGCATGTTATGAAAAAAACAACCATAATACACTGAAACGACATTAAACTAAGGTAATATTATGGTTATTGTAGTTTTTAACAGAGAAAATTCTCACATTTGTGGGTTTCTTTGGTCTCTTGTTCAGCCATCTTGCCAGTTTTTCTTTTTTTCTCATAACTCTCTGTTTGGAGTCTCTGAAAATCCTCTGTTTGGGGGGTCATGTAGCCCTTCACTTCGCCCTACCCCGCTATCTCAACAAGAATCAGGGACACCCTACCCCTAGATGTGAACACGCAAAATGGAGGGCTAAGGGCTAAGTGGTAGGGGTGAGGGGTGAATCGGGATTGGGCCTAATTATATAAAATATATATAGATGATTGGTTAAGTAATTAATTATCTTTACATTCAACATTCATTACATTCTTTTTAAGTCTACTCTTCTGCATTTTTCCATCTGATCAAGATCACTGACAAAACTATGGCAAAAACAGTATAGGATGTTTTTTTTTGTTCTCCAAAACAAGACTATATAGGCTAGAACAACTTTATCAAACACAAATCATAATAAAATATCTCCTTTTCTACATACACACATGCATGTGGTATTGATTGAAAGTTTTCAATGCAAACTGGTTGAGCTATTCTTACATTATATATTATAGAAGTGTGTAAGAAAACTTTGGCCATTTGAGGGGTTAAAATGGGGGGTGAAGCCTTCGAGGTTAAAGCAGAAGTCACCCAGAAACTCCAGCCCAAGTTCTCTCCCCTCTCAGAATCATCTAGTGTCTTCTCATAGTGTGACCATATGAAGGCGTGGTCAGAACTCATAAAAAACCCCATTGTGATCCATGTAAGAGTTAGAACAGACAGTGTTAATCAGACTCTGTGTTGTGTTTTGTCTTTATTTTGCGCAGGTGGCAGCAAATGATGCTGATGGCGGCTCGTTCGGCGCTATAACGTATTCTCTAGGATCGGGACCCAGCAGTTCTGCTCCTTCACTGTTCAGCATCAATAAAGAGACAGGACAGATCTGCACCAGCACTGCGCTGGACCGAGACGAAGGAGCCGACAGCTTCGAGTTCATCGTCACTGCTGCTGACGGGGTGAGTGGTGGGCCGACCTGTCATTCAAATCTCGATTGCTCGATTAAAGTCTTTTATTAAATGAATAGATGGAATTTACCTTTGTGATGAATCAGCAATAGCAGGTTAATGCATATTTCTACTGGTCTCTCTCATAGTAAGAAAGGTTGGTCTTACAGCGTTTTTAGATTTTTTTGAGACTGTAAGACTGTTTTTATTGTTTGGCCTTTTTTATACTTGTTACCTGATTAATGGTCGAAGTAATTAATAGATTGCTCCATTGCTAGTAGAACTGATAGCCCTAAATTACAGTAATGTAGTACTGTAAAGACTAATAATCGGTTTTAGGGGTACAGTAGTGCAAAGTAACGTTACCATAATGTAACGAAGTAGTGTATCATTTCTGTTCCACATTACACTCAAAATTATTTTAAATGCATTACAATTACTGACTTAATAAGAATTTTGTTAATTACTATACTCATATATCTCAAACAGAGCTATATTAGTTAAGAAATTTCCTCTATATAGATTATTCAGGCCTGTTCTGAGCAGTTGAGCAGTTCAGCATGATCACAGGATGCCTGTAAACTCGGCAACCAATCAGTCGAAGCATCTAATGTTGCTGAAATAAAAGTGATGGATGAAGAGCCTCATGCCAAAGAAGAGAGAACCCTAAACTCACCTAAACCTGCCTGATTTTACCTGTCAATTTTAGTTAAAGAACACCTTTGGAAGCTTTAGATTTATTCATTAAGATTTTTTTGGATTGTGATTAGTTTCTGGGTTTTTAAACAGCATCACTCATTCATTATTTAATAATGCATATCTGCCTGTGTCATTGATGATGACAGGGCTTTTTAAATGATGTTTAAATGATGTTTATGGGGCAGTCATGGGCTGGAGGTTAGGGAACCAGCCCTGTGACCGGAAGGTCGCCGGCTCGATCCCCAGAGCCGACAGTACATGACTGAGGTGTGCTTCAGCAAGACACCCAACCCCGGATAGGGCTGCCTACCGCTCCGGGCAAGTGTGCTCACTGCCCCCTAGTGGAACACCACATATACACTAGTGAGCACACACACTAGGGGGCAGTGAGCACACTTGCCCACTTGCACCTCCGCATTTAACCCATCCGTGAAGTGGAACACCACATATACACTAGTGAGCACACACACTAGGGGGCAGTGAGCCACTTCACGGATGGGTTAAATGCGGAGGTGAAATTTCCCCGTTGTGGGACTGATAAGGGTCCCTAAATACAGTTACAGTTTTACATTATTTCTTTCTAAACAAAGTACTTAAAAGACTCTGGTACTTTCCGGTTGTTACAGATTTGTGTGGGTTTTAGAGAGTAACGTAGAAGTAATGAGTAATAAGATTACTTTTGTCCAGGACATAATAATTAAACTAATCCCTTTTCAGTTTGAGAGAAGTAATTGATCATTTGTATTGGATTATTGTGTAACTATCCCAACACGGCTCATAACACAGTTTCGTGATAAGCTTCATTTGACTTTTAGGACTGTTGTGCTTTTCAGGAAAGTTTGCTTGCTAACTGTAATGGTCCATAACAGTGGTCAGGTTTGTTTTCAGTGGATGGACCTACCTTACAAATCACTCACTGACCTCTTTTACTAGAACATTATTCAAGGGTTCGACCCTTTAATAGCATTTTCCAGTCAAGACTGAACAGACGCAGTGCTTCGATACAAAGGTGTGTTTGTGCTGTAGCGTCGTCCTCAGAGCAGCTTTCTGATTCACTGCACAGCATATTCTCTTTTTACTGCCAGCAACAACAATCGTCCACTCCCCACATGAAAAGGCAGTAAAGCACAGTGTCCCTGGGGTGCATTGTTATATACCAACGCAGGCATTCACACTCCCTGTCTTTCTGTCTGTCTTTCTCTATCTGTCTCTGTTTCTCACTCTTTTTGTGCCATTATATCTTTTGCTTTCTCTCTCTCTCTCTCTCTCTCATACCCAGTCACTGTGTCACTCTCTCTCCCCTTATATTGGGCAGGTAGCCGTTCTCTCATTTCCCCATTTCCATTATTAATGCAGTCATAACACGGTGCTTGCGAAGGACGTGTAATGAGTGCGCAACTCATTTAACTTTCCTCATAACAGCTCTTTTTTCATCCCCCTGAATGCTGTAAGGATTTCCCTTACAAATTTTAATGATCAAAGAAAAAGTGAAAAGCAAAGCTGACTGCAGTGAAGCTGGTTCTGCTGCAGTCACTCATTGGTCAATGACGTGCTCCCTGTTTCTCTCAGGGTGGTCTGAGTTCATCAGCGTACGTGAAGGTGTCACTGCAGGACATCAACGACAACAGGCCCACGTTTTACCCGGTCAACTACGCGGTCAGCTTGAGCACGCAGAGTGCTCCCGGAACCTCCGTCATCAGGGTAACGGCCCATGACCCTGACGCCGGGGAGAACGGCAAAGTGACGTATCGCACTGTGCCAGGAGGAGGCTCCAACTTCTTCACCCTCAACAAGGACACAGGTGAGTGTGTGGGCATGGGTGCATGTCTGACAGTCTAAGGGGGGGTGGGTATGGTGGACACATTCCTCCCAATACTGAAAAGAAAGAATCAATTTCATCCCCCAATTTAAGACTAAAATATAAATAAATGAAATAAATGAAAACACATTCATTGAGGATCATGCAAAACCTTCAAATGGGTGCAGTGACACCTTTAGAGAGCAGTTACTGTCTATGCTTTACTGTATTTTTAGTAGCGGCTGCAGAGAAAGTAGTAGTGGACAGTGTGTTTACATCACAGTATTATTATGATTTTGAGATATATTGTGTGTAGTATATTTCGCTGTTGTCAGAAAAAAACTTTGTATCTCCAAAATAGTAACTTTACAGGAGAAGGAAAAAACCTACTTTACTTTTAATGCAAGTCAATGGAACCAGAATTTTTTCCAAGTCATTTTGGGTCATTTCTTTTAGTCCATTCATCATGAAATTTACATAGAATGTAACAAGTAACAAGTATTTTCAAATTACGTCAAAAACTGAAAAATGTCAAAAATGGAGATATGAGGTTTTCTTCCAACAGCGGCGATTTATGTATTTGTTTTTAATAAAAACATTTTGGATTCTTAACTAAACCTGTTTTTGTAGATTAACAATGGGGTCATTATTATTGTTATAATTATTATTATTATCATAGGACGTCCCTTCACTTTTAATGAGAACCATATTTAACAACTGAAATAAATCTGAAATTTTTTCATTGGGCAACATAGTAAAAATAGAAATTAACAATATATGGACAGATGTCAATATTGCTTTCTAACACTAGTGAGATAAAGGAGAATGCATGAAAGCACACAGCTGCGCAGCTGAGCCCAGCAAGAGCACTGCTGAATATTATTTAACTAATTTCTCAAGTCATTTGTCTCATACATGTGTCTCTTATGATCTACCTTTCATCTACAAGTGTCAGACGTTGCTGGAATTTGGGAAATATTAGTCATTGATGCTTGATGAACCTGCGGAGCCTCTCGCTAATTTGTGGCATGAAGTGTAGATGAGAAACTCATATCTTTGAATCGACCTATTAAGAACTGGTATAGCCATTACAACATGGTAGTTACTATGTAGTAATGGTACATGAGTATGTACTATGTAGTAATACCACCTTTACTACATCAAGCAGTACAAAAACAGTCTGGCTAATCTTTACTCTTTCAGGTGAGGATGGAGTCACCTTGAACTCTTATATGATCTCTTCAGTGCATCCGAATGTAAACTAGAGTCATTTGTTAATCTGTCAGTAATTATTATTATAATGTTATAGTATTAGCTAGCAAGGTGGCTAAAGCTAACATTCTAAACCTTTATGCTAGCATCCCATTTCTGCCCCCCAAGTCATAAACTAAGGTCCAATCCCATTTCACCCCTCACCCCTACCACTGAGCCCTTAGCCCTCTGTTTTGTGCGTTCACATCTAGGGGTAGGGTGTCCCAATTCTTGTTGAGATAGAGGGGTGGGAGATAATAAATAATTGCCCCCCTCTTTGAAGGCATATGAGTCCCTAAATGTAACTAAAGCCCAGCAGTGAGGAGCTGAACTTTACCCTCCTCTGCTGTCACTGCAGACTGGCAGGGTCGCCTACAGAGCAGCGCTAGTAGCTGTTAATGAAGTGATGCTCTTTTTATTTGAGGGTCTCATTTCAGAGGGAGGATTTCAACCACTACCCCTTATAACTCAGTTCCAAGAGATTAGGGTGACACTCGAAAACAAGGGGTAGGGGTAAAAAAAAGAAAAAAGAAATGGGACTGGGCCATAGTTACGTCTTTGTCCGGTTACAATGCGATCATCCATTTAGTGGTGTTTTCTATGGCTGACCGCACTGTGGTGTCATTTTGAATGGCATTTGTATCTCTGTAGGGGTGATCTCTCTGTCCCGCTCCCTGCATGGAAAGGCCAACTCTGTCATCACCATGGTGATCACAGCGCTGGACGGAGGTGGTCTCACGGCACCGGTAAATGCCAGAGTGAACATCAGTGTGGTGGCTGGCTCAGTGGCGCCTCCTGTGTTCGAGCAGGCTCAGTACTTCTTCACTGTCTCTGAGGATGTGCTCAGAGGCACTGAGGTCGGGGTAGTACGGGCTAACAGCCGAAACGGTAAGTGCTTACTACAAGGTATGTAGCACTGAGAAAGGCTTCTTCTCAAACCCATTTAGGTGCTTTAAAAATCCATATTTTAAAAGGTTCTTTAAAGAACCATATATAAGCAGCTCTCCATCATAAAGAAGAAACACTTAGCCAGGCAAAGGACCCTTTAAGCATTCAGATAGTTCTTTGAGTTGTCTATCAGTCAGCAAAGACGTGTTTAGGCTACGTTCACATTACAAGCCTCATTCTTCAAATCCGTTTTTTTGCTCAAATCCGATCTCTCTGACACGATGGTTCACACTCGTTTAGGTAAGTGATTCAAATCGGTCATTAATGTGACGAACCGGCGTCCTGAAATGACCCTCATGAGCTCATCCTACTCAGTAACGTCACGTGAATGAATCACGTGCATCATCAGCACAAACTAACGAGCAGAACGAGCTTCGCTGAGAAGATCATTAACTCTGATCAGCTCTCAGCTTCATTATTAGAGCGAGACGAAGGAGAAAAAGGTGAGATGAGCTGCTTTTCCACCGTTTACAGGCTTTAACTTCTGTTCGGCGCTGCTGCCATGGTAACGCTGAATGATGGTGCAGTGCAATGGAAAAAAAGCACATGAATTCCGATCTGAGGTTCACATTAAGGTCACATGGCCACGAATCGGATACGTATCTGATCTAGGACCACATATGAAAGTGGCTCAGGTCAGATTTGAAAAGATCAGATTTGTGTGTCCACACAGCCCTGAAAACATCAGATCTGAGTCACATTAGGGCAAAATAATCAGATTTGTGCCACTTCAGCCTGGTAATGTGAACGTAGCCTAAATGTCTAAAGTTCGCCTCTTTAGTTTTGTACTGGAGCTACAGGACTAATATAGCCAACAAGTAATAGAAGCTTATATTCGCCAAGCAGCATCGTGCAAACTGAGTATCTAAACCATCTCACAGCTACCATTTCCACACTAGCAAGTCTGTTTGAGATTATTTAATGCAATTTGAGGTAAGTGATGATTTAGGCATTCCGTTTGCTAACTGGGGAGTTTCATCTTCCGTTTTTGGCTACGTTAGAGCTCCAGTGCAAAACTGAAGAAGCAAACTTTGGAGGCCAAACATGTCTTGGCTGATCAGCTACATTTGGGATAAAAGGGAAAATTGTGAAAATTAGATATTTTTGCTGAATAGTGCTTTAATGCATCCCATTAGTGGCTACTTCTTATTCCCACTGCTGCATGAACACACAGCTCTCCACATCTGTAGCAGTGCAAGGGCTGAGGATCCGTGAGCTGCAGTGGCAGGACGTGCTGAAAGGCTCGATACTCAGTCTTTTTGCTCACGTTGAGTCAGTCGGACGAATAGAAAAACAGCTGCACTGTGGAGCTCATTAGGCCCTCGCATCAATCACAGATTCCGCTGCCTGTGCGGTGTTATTACACTTCATGTTCTGGCATTTTGTTTTCTGACAGTTTTTTGGTGCGCTGGAGCCGAGTGGTGAAAAATGTTTGAGAATGAGATTTAAAATAGAACAGATTGAGGTGACTTGTTCTTCCTCTCTCTCTCCCTCTCTACCTCTTATTGATATGACTGTATGGAGTACGAGTATCGAGGATTGCTGAAGCTTTAAAATCAGCTATTTTTTACGAAAGTCCGGAAAGGCCATGAGCTGTTGCTATAATTTTCTGTATTGTTATCTTGAGATAACAAGATAAGTAATTTGTCATTTCAAGATAACAATTTTGTCATCTCGAGATAACATGATAAGTATTTCATTATTTCAAGATAATTTTGTTATCTTGAGATAACAAGACAAATAACTTGTTATCTCAAGATAACAACTTTGTCTTGAGACAGTAAGTTATTTATCTTGTTATCTCAAGATGACAGCTTTTGTTATCTTGAGATAACATGATAAGTAGTCTGTTATTTCAAGATAACAATTTTGTTATCTTGAGATAACAAGATAAATAACTTACTATCTCAAGATAACAACTTTATCTTGAGATCACAAGATAATTATCTCGTTATCTCAAGATGACAGCTTTTGTTATCTCGAGGTAACATGATAAGTAATTTGTTATTTCAAGATAACAATTTTGTTATCTTGAGATAACAAGTTAATTAACCCAATTATCTCAAAATTATATAACTACCTCCTGTCCTCTCTGGACGTCAGTATATTTTTACTGAAACACTTTGATAAGATGAGCAGTTAAAAGTAGACTCAAACTACTCAAACTCTGCTGGTCCACAGGAGAGGATTTCTTCCGACAGCAGCGATTTATGTATTAATGTTATTGTGTCCATTTCACAATCAGACTACACTTTTGTATTATTTGCTCTTTTGTATTTAATTTGTGTGGTGAGGACCATTCGGACAATAGTGGGAAGTTTAATCTCTCTCTCTCTCTCTCTCTCACCTCTTCCAGGAGCCACTAAGGATATCTCCTACACCATCTCCTCTGGCGATCCTGATGGATATTTCACAGTTGACTCTGAGACAGGAGCCCTTCGCACCAGCCTGCCGCTGGACCATGAGGCTCGGCCGTCTCTGGAGTTGGAGGTCCAAGCCAGCAGCGGCTCCCCACCGGCCTTTGGTCAGACACGAGTCATGATCACTATTGCTGACGTCAATGACAACGCGCCCACCTTCCTGCCCTCCTCTTCTGAGTCCCTGCTACTTCCCGAGGCCACCAAGATCGGCTCGGTGGTGTACCGCGTCCAGGCCAAGGACCGTGACTCGGGACAGAACGGCCGACTCACCTTCTACCTGCTGCCGTCTGGAGGCCAGCGTGCGTTCAGCGTGGAGAGGGGCAGTGGAGAGATCCGTCTGATCTCCAGCCTGTCCTACGACAGTGTCCCGCGCTACGATCTGCAGGTGCTGGCCCGGGATGGGGGCATCCCGCAGCGCAGCGCCACCTTCACTCTGATGGTGCACGTGCAGGCCGAGGATGACCAGGGCCCCTGCCTTTGACACCCTGACCTACCGTGTGGAGCTGAAGGAAAACACTCCCCTCAACACCCGCTTCCTGCAGGTGCGCGCCCTCAACAGAGACCAGGCTGGAAATGGAGCAAACGGAGGTCAGTATAATCAGCTGTTTATAGATTCTTATAGACTTTAGGAGGTAAAATGCATTAACGTTGATTTTTTAAAGCGTTAAAATCAGTATAATCAGTGACAATAACAGGTAATGCTCTAGTTCTAGTATTAACCAGATAAGTGTGTGGTACGAACTCCAAAGTACTTGATTATCATTTTAGGTAGCATGATGGGAAGTTGGTAATTACTAATATTACACTGAAATAACTAACAGGTTCTAGTTATTAACCTGACAAAGGACATATTAAAGTCCCTCATAGTTATTTGGAGTAATAAAGCGGTAATTACATGCTAGATTTCAATGTAATGTCATGCATTTAAGCAGGAAAGTAAATCAGAAGCACCACCAAGAACCAGGTGGTTACATGGTGTAAAATGACAACACAAAATAAAAATAAATAAAATATACGGTAAAGACAGTAAAACCATAGTAGAATCATTGCTTTCTTTTACAGCCCAGATTCAGTTTTGTTTCTCGGTTATAATTAGGTTCATACTATATAAAGCTCTTTGTACTTTATTTGCGTATAATCATTTAGGTAGTATTTTTACATCAAATAACTACCCAGTACTTTTTTACAATAAATATTTACATAGTACTGTGGAGTGTGTGATGCATGAATGGTCCTTTCTGATGATGCTGCAGCTGCACAGACTCAGACTATTTAAACTATCTAATTAACCTTTGCTCCTCCTGTTTTTCCCCATTTTGTATTCTAATATTTTATACTAACGCTGTTTGCTATCCGGTGTTGACCAGAGGAGGATGGGTTCCCCTTTTGAGTCTTGGTTCCTCTCAAGGTTTCTTCCTGTTGCTCTTAGGGAGTCTCCATTGGCGACGCTCAATGGGGCTCAGACCCGGATTTTTCTGTAAAGCTGCTTTGTGACAACACCTGTTGTAAAAACGCTATATAAATAAACTTTGACTTGACTTGACTGTGTGCCACATACTTAACCTGTTAGTACCTAGAACCAGTTGGGCATTTCAGTACCATCATGCTTCCCAAAATAATTACCTAGTACTTTGGACCTCACACCTTACCTAATGACTTCAACCTTAAGGGACTATAAAGGAAATTTTACAAATTACTTGATTCATTTCCTAAAGAATTGTACTCAGTTCTAATTAGTGTGAGGTTGAGATTTACACCACCATTGTTTATAGATTTTGTAGACTATTTTTATATACTGTATTTTTATAAACTGTATTTTTAGATTGACTGAGGTATTACATGATACAAAGACCTTTAAATGAATAGTGTATGAATGTATATTTAAGCTCATACTTATATGGAACTTTGTTTGAATGTGTTCTCTTTTGTGATGGTCACACTGTCCACACTGAATCAAGACAAATTTCCCATCAGCGACCATAAAGATTAATTTAAATTCGATTCAATTTCTCTGGAGGTTCCACTCCTGCTGAACCGCTGTCCTACCGCCTCCGGCCTGACGGGGACGCGGCCGGCTTCGGGATCATCCCGGACAGCGGCTGGCTGTTTGTGAAGAGCGCTCTGGACAGGGAGGCCAAAGACATCTACCTGCTGACAGTACTGGCCACCACAGGCAGTGGGCGCATGAAGAAAACGGGCAGTGCCACAGTGAGGGTCTCTGTGACAGACGAAAACGACAACTCCCCTCGTCTCTCTCAGGAGAGGGTCTTCCTGGCTGTGAGAGAGAACCTGCCTGCAGGAACGGGGTTCGGCAGGGTTTCGGCTACCGATCGTGACGCCGGACTCAACAGCCGGCTCACCTACAGATTGCTGCACACTGACCGCAACTTCCAGATCAACTCCCAGACTGGTGAGCAGACAAAGGCTGACAGTCATTAATCTCATTCTGAGATTTTTGGTCTTGAAGGTAGAAAAAATAGGAGTTCGTTAGCCAATGAAATCAAAGCAGACTCAGCCTTTGTGGGAATGTATGTCAATTAACGTTTTGATTTTCTAAGTAAAAAAGTTTCTTTACAGAGAACAAACAAACAATTTCAGTGCATAATTTCTAGCTTAACATTTTAGAAAAAAAAATCAGAAAATATAAAATGTTTTTTTCGAATATGTTAAATTCAGCAAATAAACTTTAGTTGTGCATTTAGTGTGCAGAAATGTGTTCCCTACAGAGGATATATTAACTTTTTTCACTTAGAAACACAACAAAATTTTGCAGTTTGACCCAAACTTCTGCATGTGACTGTCCATGGATGTGGTTACTTTCTACAGGAGTCAAGCTTTCCAGTGAAATATGACACAGCATAGTCATGAGAGTGTGGTGAAGTGTGGCCTTCCTCAAAGTCACCAGTACTTAGAAAATCCAATTAGACATAAGGATGCAAGTGGAAAAAACCCATTGAAATACTCAGATTTCTGCTGAATCTTGACATTTTTATAACTGCAATGTATGTTATCGAGATATTTCATCAAAAAAATTGAACAACAACTTTGTGTGAGTTGTGCAAATTCCATTGAAATGAATGTAATTTCGCTCATGAAAATCAGCCCACAGAAAGCTAGTGTGACTAGGCCTTTATTCAGCTTATTTATGTGCCCTATCCTCAGTTAATTTGGGCAGGAAGTCCCTGTGGCCATTGTTAGACATTAGGCTTGTGATTAAGTTCTTGCAACGGGCAGGATTACCGGCCCTGCCAGCCAATAGCCATGACAAATATATTGAAGCAAGCAGTGATTTTTACACTGTCAAAGAAATTACGAATAAACCAATTCCAACTTCCAGACCAAGTTCTAGACCAGCGTCCGGGCTAAGGCGTACAGCAGAGGTGTCCAGTTCTGGTCAGCAGTGAGTTACCAGGTTTACTAATGTGTACTTGGGGAGGGAAATTGTCAAACTGTGCTGAGCTCTGGCTCTACAGGAGCAGAACTGATCTGGACACCCCTGGCCAACGGTCTTCAATTGATTCAGGCTCAGCTAGGCAGGCAGTCGACATCATTCAGTTAATTTATGTGCCTGTTTTTCAGTTCATTTGGACAGGAAGTCCCTGTGGCTATTGTTATACAATTAGCCCTGTGATTGAGTGCTGGCAGAGAGCAGGGTTAGTGGCACTGCCACCCACCAGCACTGCTTTCCAGCAGTTGAACTATGTGTAATTTAGAACTCCCACAGCCAAGTCCAGCTACTTCTGAATCTGATATTCACTGTTTTTTCACTTTTCTCTTCCTTTCCTTTCATCCTCCTCTCCAGGTGAGATCAGCACCAGGGCGGCGCTGGATCGTGAGCACCAGTCCAGTTATCAGCTGGTAGTGGTAGTGCAGGACGGAGGCACTCCTCCACGCAGCGCTACAGGCACGGCCCACATCACCGTACTGGACGAGAACGACAATGCACCGGCCTTCAGCCACACGCTGCCAGGCAGAGAGCTGCTAATCCAGGTAAGAACCACAGCTGGCGCTGTAGAGCAGGGGTTCAGATCACCAGTCTGTATGATAGACACAACCTCTACCACATCTGGTAGACAAAGGACTTTTAATTATTAATTGCTGTTGGCTTTTTTCAATTATGGCAATCACAAATATTTCCTAGATGTTTTCAGACATACTTGCCTAATATGTTATAAGTCTACATTGCTAATGGTTATAAGCCTACATAGTTAACAGTTTTAATCAGATACCATGAAAAAAGATGAGGTGCTCAAGGTTGGCTGGTTTAATGTCATGTTTACTTTCACGTTTACTAGACTACTAGCTAACTGGACTATCTTACTAACTATTTCTATGACTCTAGGTAGGTTTTGCATTCCATTATTTGTTTTTATCTAAAATATCAAGGCAATATTTGATCATTCATTTGATCATTATTCAACAAAAATCATTTTTAGTTGTTTAAATGAGGTGTTTAAGGGTTCCCGAGTGGCCCAACCGTCTAAGCGTTGGCCCTATCATCAGGAGATTGTGAGTTCGATCCCTGGTGATGCGGCAGTCGTCCGTGGCTGGGAGTCCAAGCGAGCACAATTGCCCCCCCTACTTCTCCCCCAGTCATTCAGCACGATGCTAGCCAGCACAGGTGTCAGTTAGCTGACATAACAGATCTGGCGGTTGGTACTTTCCTCCGAGCGCATTCGGCTGTCCAGTGACATTGCGGTGAAGCTGCACAGGACTCAGAGGAAGCCTGTGCTAGCCTTCACCCTCCTAGCGCTGGTGGTGTCGTGTGATTGGGAGAATCCTAACTAGTGGGTAGAATTGGAGACGACTAAATTAGAGAGAAATTTCAGGAAATTCTTTTAAAAACAGCGTCATTTTTTATGTCATTTGTGATTTTAGAAGTTAGATCCTATTCTGCAGGTGTGTCATGACCACTAGTGGAGACTTAGCCCTAATTAAAGCTGCACTGTGTACGTTTTGGGGATTTGGAGACCCCACAGGTGGAAATATGTAATTGCACACAATGTGCAGAAGAACGTTTTGTAACATCGGTTGTTCTTCCCTGAGCAGATGAATCTGATGACTGTGATCATGTCGAAAGAGAATTCAAAGAGAACTCGGTCAAAACTTGATGAAGGAAGTATTTTCCAAGGATATAAGTGAATTATTTAATATTGTCGTCATATCTTCATCAGAATAATGTTGATTTTGCATTTGAGACCCGAACATCGAGCGAGAGCTTCTCTTTGAGCCTGTTTGTGACATTAATATGTTAAAAAAATGACGTGGTCTGAAAAACATACGATAAATTATTGTTTCAAGCTTTACCAGGCAGCTCGCAGCAGCACACGCACCATATGTTAGCATGTTTTTTTCAATGTTTCGGCTTCTTTTAATTTTAACAGAAAAATCTTACATAGTGCAGCTTTACAACTGAATGTGTGTGACTGTTCAGCTAAGTGTGTATTATAATGTGTTGCATAGAAACAGATGCATTTTCGCCTCCATGTGTATGATCCAGGTGCAGGAGGGTCTGCCGGCTGGCTCTCTGTTGGGAACACTCCAGGCTAAAGACGCAGACGAGGGAGAGAACGGCACGATCTTTTACTCGTTGTCTGGTAAGCAAGCAAATCTCCTTCACTATGAGCTGTTTACAAAGGCTTACACAGCATAATTACATTAAAACAAGCTGGATTTCCTAAAAGCATGTCAGCACAAGGATGGTTCTTAAATGGTAGAGTGAGCATCACGGTGAACACTCTCTCTACCAGTTAAGACGATCTTCACACTAAGATGCTTTTGTGAAACAGGGCCAAGATTAGCAACATATAAGCCATTTTTGTTTTTTTTTTTTACAATAAATTCATAAGAGGAAGTTGGTCCATGACATGACCCACCAACTCCAGCGAGGACTGTTAAACATGAGCTCGACTTCTCAGTGAATAGATTTGTTTTGGCTTGCCATTTATTTGCCTTTTTTACCTCAATTTCCTCTTTTCTCTCAGGGTCCAGAGCAGAGCGGTTCTCTCTGAACCCGAACACGGGGGAGCTGCGTTCTTCTTCCCCATTGAGAAGGGCTGAGAAAGCCGAGTATAGTTTCACGGTGACCGCCTCCGATCGTGGTGCTCCGCCTCAGAGCTCGTCCTGCGTCCTGCGCATACAGGTCAGAGTTTTTACGCTACGTTCACATTACAAGCCTTATTACTTCATTTTGGTCATATCCTGTCTTTATGCCTTGATTGTTTGCACACCAGCGTTCAAAAGTTTGGAATCACTGTAAGATGCAAAATCACTGTTTCACTTCAAACTTCGATGCGATTTTGGATATATTGACTTTTGAAATAATAATAGCTGACACGTTATCTCTGATATTGTCTCTCTAGGTGGTACTAATGGTAATATAGCATTGATATATCTTGTATGTGTAAAGCCCACTACCCAAAACATACATCATGAAAAAAAGAAAACTCTTGAAAGTAGTCTATAATGTGTTTTGGACCAAAACCCCTTCAATTGCTTTTATTTTATTCAATTTTAACCTATACGGTGAAGATTTAAAAACTATAAGCTAAGCACCAAAGAGTATTTTAGAATGTTTCATTCAATATTTCAGTAACTCTGGGGAATATGAAATATTTATAAGATAATAGCTATTATACTGTAATTATTTATTTATAGGATTTTCTTAAGAAGTGATCTACTTGAGATTTGATTAGTTTCAAATGTAAGGCATTCTGAGTGTTCAATTTATTATAACTTAATTCTCAATGTTTTACATCTTTCTTATTCATTAAGGAATCATCTACAGCTCTGTCAATCATTTTTTTTGGTTTCACAGCTTCCTACTAATGATTTGAAATCTGTGTAGTAGCATCATAATTGTTTTATGAATTAATCTGCCACTTTTTTAAATTTATTGAAAACGTCTGAAGACTAGTTTAAGTGACCCATCTGTGATTTGCGAATGTGCAGTAAAGTGTGATGTGCAAATATTTGAATTGAAACATAAAATCGAATCATTACAGTCACACAGCCATGAATCAGATGTGTATCTGATCTAGGAGCACATATGAAAGGGGCTCAGATCTGATTCGAAAAGATTTTTGTGTTCACACCACTCTCAAAAAATCAGATCTGTGCCGTTTCAGCTCTGTCAAGCCCAATCATGACAGTCTGGGATTCAGACTTGCAGTTGCATCACATTTTATAGAGTAATACTCAATAAAGACATTTGTAATTCATCAAAGCTGGGTACCGTCAAATCTGATCGCAAAATAAGCACATGCAAATTTCACCAATGGTTTTGTTATTCATTATTTTCATCTTTGGCATATCTGTACGATCAAACTCATGTCTGGAAGGAGTGTAAACTTGAGCATAATAGTGTAACAACCTTAAAAATGCTTGATTTGTGGTTATCTAACCAAAACTATTATCGATATCATCTATAATAGCATTGATAAGAATAAAAATAACAAAATTACAGAAAATAATAATAACAATAATACATGGCCATCCAGAACAAAAGTGGATATACTTACTTTGCAAGTTCATTAGTATAAACAAACAAACATGCTGCAACTGTTCCATATTCTATTTAAAGACATATTACACTGTGCTTTTATTTTATACTACTGACACAGCCCAAAAAATAGCAAATAGAAAATTCACCTAGTGCATAAGGATCTCATAGACTGCAATAATTCAGTACTTAAATGTTATTTTGGGAAAATAATCGCAGTACACAATCACATCCGTACCGTATTTAAAAAAGACTAAGATGTTTTCTTTTTTTTTTTTTCTTTCCAGTAGTTGTAATTTTAACACTATAAAGTTTGGTCAGTAGGGGGAGCAATGCACTCACTACTCAACCTCAACCTCAACCATTGGCTCACAAGCCACTAAATGTTGTCGTTTTATTGGTTCCCTACCGAAACATCTGCATAATTTAAGGTGTAATTTATGTAAATGATATGTAAATGAGGTGCTGGTAGGCTGGCACTTGATTTCATGCACTGAAGCTGGCTTCAAATTTCCTTACCAACGTTTCATGAATCAGATGTACAGTAGTTTGTACGTCATTAAAGGAGGTCAAATCTTCACAACTTTATGTCTTGGCTTATTTCTGTTATCAGTATAATCTCTGAAATCCTTTAGGACCACTTTGTCCACCACATTCAGGCACACCAGTCTTCAATATGGCCAAACCACGGGACTACATGTGGCAGACCGTGGTGGAGTTTTAATGTGTGGTATCTGTGATGTGTTGAGGGAATTGATATGAAAGCGGAGAGCTTCTGTATGTCTGCTGTAATTCTTTAAAAACACATTCAATCAAAACTCTCAGCTTTACTTCCTCTTTCCAGAGCTTGATCCCGTAATCCAAACCCAAATGAGAGAGCCCAGGAAGCCGGGCTATTGGCGCGAATTAGATCTATGCGTCACGCTATATTTTACACGATACACTGTTTTTGTTTTTATATCCGCTCCAGTGTGTCCAGATCCCGCAGACTATCTCCTGAACGGAAGTGTTTCTGGCAGGCTTTGGGCCTCTTCTATAGTGCACGATCCTTAATGCTTTTTCAGATGTGATTTCCAAAAGGGGATAGGATGCTAATTGTAGAGCGTACAGTTCCCTGCCATATCTCTGCCTCCAGAAAGAGAGAAAAGGGGAGGGGGGGGGCAGCGAAAGAAGAAAAGGCACCTTTGAATCAAGTGTTCCCAGATGGCCTGTGATGGGCCCCAGCTGTGGCTCGCTCTGATCAGACGCAGAGAGCCGCTAACCTCAGCCTTCTCGCACGGTAGCACTCACGGACACACTCGCTCCAGATAACGTTTCACCACAACAACATCAAGATAATATTCCACATACCGGTCAAGTAATACCAGGCACTCTGGAACGTTCCAGTACATTGCATTTTAGAGAATGCTAAGTAATGCAGTTATAGGCGTTCTACGATTCCTCCCGCTGCTCGGTGCCCATGGAGTGGACTGTTTGCTTTTCATGGTGATTTAAGCATGAAAGCTTTCACCTGTTGTCATTACAATGCCATGTTTCCAGCCTCACTCAAAGGGCACAGGAAATGACCTTATCATGCTTTCATGTGCCTCAATTTGAGCTCTTATGGAGAGTCCATGGCTTCTGGGTCAGTATAGTAGAGGAACTTTACTGTTCACAGTAGAGGTGTTATTTGGATTTCAGTAGTGTGATGGAACAATGGTAGAAGCCCGAGTCTCTTAAGCCTGCAGTGTACTTTAAACAGAAGTAGTGTTTCGAAGCAAAATGACATCATTTTGTCCAAAAGAAAAAGGCTTGAGTTCACATGGTGTTCTGTGTGATGCTTGCTGAACAGAAGTCTTTGTCACTGCGCGTTTACATGCACTTAATAATCTGATAACTGCAGAAAATCAGATTTTGTCAGTTATCCGATCAACGCATTTACATGTTCTTGAGTAATCAGATAATGGAAAAACTCCGGGTCTACATGAGTCAGACAGTAATCAGATTTCTGCTTTGCAACAAGCCAATAAACTCACAGAAGAAGACGTGATGTAAACGTAACATAAAACTCAAACTTCATGCCACGGCTTTTTTCGCAACGCTTTACCTGAAAATATGAATATACATCATCTAGAAGATGAAGAATATTTAAATCCTTGATTTTGTCAAGCATGTATTTGGTATCGCTTATTTCCAGTACCGCGGTCTGTTTTCGCACATGTGCAGACTGAGAAATCCGAAAGAAATCAGAGTAAGAGTTCACATGCACTGAGGAATCTGATTACTGAGCTAAAATCCAGCCTCTTTATTGGATTTCTTAATCAGATTTCTAGACCTTCCACCAATCTAGGAGTGTGCTGTTTACATGACCATTTGAATAATCAGATAACTGCAGAAGTTTGATTATGAGAGGAATTATTGAGCGCATGGAAACGCACTCAGTGTTTGTTCTGAGACCTCCACTTGACTGTGATTGGTCCATATCACCATGTTGTTGCGCTGATTGGGTTTGATCTTCTGCATGAAGCAGGCTACTAGCAGTGCTGAGACGTACCCCAGCTTCAAGTACATCTATGACAGGATGTTCTACAGTTTAATTTCGTTTAGTTCTTTTGTGGTTTGAAGTCAACTGTCAGCTTTACAGTAAATAAAGAAAAAAAACAAGCTAAAAAACTTCTAACGCTTCTAGAAAGGATGACATTTTCTTTGCATGGTTTGCAAACTTGCTGTTTTTTCAGTTGTTTGAGTTTTTCACAGTGTTTACTTGAAGACTTGCTTTTGGTGTTACAGCCAAAATAGGCCTTCTAAAATGAAGACCCACTAAAGTAGCAGTAATTATTTTACCAGGCTCTCTTGTGGAAGGTTTTCTTAGTCCTGTGGAGGCTATGGCAGTCCCTTATTGTAGAAAGTGAACCCAAAACACGTTTTCATAGAGCTGTCTGAGAAATCTGACCACTATCAACAAGCTGGTGCACAAACTTTGACCAAAGAGAGCACATAAGGTGCTAAAAACTCATTTTTCTCTAATCGTTGGGGTCTTTAATCTTTTGAGGGTGTGTGCTGCTGAGACTGTTGGTGACTTTGAAGAGACATTTGTTTTCCGTCTGGCCGCATGAAAGCAGCCATCAAAGTGATTATATTGTGGCTGTAAAATAACAGACTGTATGAAATTGAATATTTACAAGTTGTAAGAGGTCGTGGCTCCATGACTGGCTTTGATGACAGATTCTTGCAATCTTTGTTTTTAATCATAGGTTCTGGGGTCTGCTAGAACTTCTCCCAAACCCAACACCCTGTCCATGACCCTCAACTCGGTGGAGGGAGCACAGCCAGGCTCCATCATAGGTTCTGTGCGGTCACATGAACATCGTGATGTGGCGCTTGACGGACAGGTGACTTACCTCGTAGTGGGTGGAACCGATCAGGATGGTACCTTCATGGTTGACCGTCTGACAGGGGATGTGTATTTGGCCAGGGAGCTGGACTATGAAAAAGGAGCTCGCTACACCTTACAGATCGAAGTGGACGACTTCTCAAAGACCTACCCTAGCACCTATATGGTCCAGCTGGATATCAATGTGCAGGACAGCAATGACCATGCTCCAGAGTTCCCTGAAGATCCTGTTACCATAGTTGTCCCTGAGAACATGCAGCCAGGCTCCTCCATCTACACCTTCCAGGCCACTGATAAGGATGGCAGTGGCCCCAACAGTGAGGTGCGCTACTCCATCCAGCACCGCTGGCCTGACCGCTCAGATCTTCTGAGCCTTGACCCCGTAACTGGAGTGCTGACTCTGGGTCAGGAGTTAGACCACGAGGACACCTCCAGCCTGTTCCTGGTGGTCCGAGCCACCGACTCGGCAGCGGATCCCAACCAGAGGCGCTGGGGCTCAGTTACGGCCCGCATCTTTGTGACGGATGAAAATGACAATGCTCCAGTCTTCAGCTCTCCTACAGCGGTCAGCATGATGGAGGATCAGCCTGTGGGCTTTGTGCTGCTCTACGTGATGGCCCGGGACGCTGACCAGGGTGAAAACGGCCGAGTGTCCTATCGTATCCAGACTGGCAATGCAGCAGGCCGCTTCAGCCTCAACCCCAACACCGGTGAGCTTCTAAGTCAGAGGTTTTCAAATCTGGACCTTGAATCCAGTTTCTGGCCCTGGAATTTTGTGATCACTGAACTGCTGATGTAATGGATTGGCCACCTTCCAACACAGCCACCAGTAACTATAAAATCCTCAATCAGAAACTGGATTCAAGGTCTGGGTGTGAAGATCACTACTCTCAAAACTCAAGTCAGTGTAGCTATACCCATGTAGCAGAAGGACCAGGGAAAAGAAATCTGTGTTTTCTTAGGTTAATCTTGCTCTTGTGGCACCTGATAGACATGTACAGAGTATGTGCCTTGAATTACGGTTCAATGCCCAATAAGTGGTTTGTGTATTTTGCCAACATTCTCCTCTCTCAGTGTAAGTCTGGGCAGTTCTAATCCCTCACCAATCACAAGGCTGATGAGGTTTGTCTCACCCACACATTTTTAACAAAGCAGCGTTCCCCAACGGTCTCCTTCTCTGTGTTCAAGTCAGAGAATTTACCGTGAGAAAGCTAGCGTCCATCTGACCGTTAATTGAACAGACCACACCAGCACTCCCTGGATGCACATTCAGCTTCCCTCAGTTTCACTCGTTTCTTCTGTTTATGTAGATCCAGTTTCACTCGTTTCTCCTGTTTATGTAGATCCAGTCTAACTCATTTCTCCTGTATATGTAGATCCAGTCTAACTCATTTCTCTTGTACATGTAGAACCAGTCTAACTCAGTTCTCCTGTACATGTAGAACCAGTCTAACTCATTTCTCTTGTACATGTAGAACCAGTCTAACTCATTTCTCTTGTACATGTAGAACCAGTCTAACTCATGTCTCCTGTATATGTAGAACCAGTCTAACTCATTTCTCTTGTATATGTAGATCCAATCTAACTCATTTCTCCTGTATATGTAGAACCAGTCTAACTCGTTTCTCCTGTACATGTAGAACCAGTCTAACTCTTTTCTCTTGTATGTGTAGATCCAGTTTCACTCATTTCTCCTGTGTATGTAGAATCCATTTACTAATTTCTCTCCTACTCACACTGTTGTGTTTAGTTTAGCTTCAGTGACATAACAGGCAAGGAGCCGTAAACTGAGCACGCTCATTAGGAGTATATGAGGACCACACCCAGACAGTTCACTGATACGCCTGATCAGTGTTTTCGAAGCTGTATTTTATTAAATCACTATCTTATTTTTTCCATTCAAACTTCTCAAGACTCAACTTTAGTGTCATACATTTTTAATAGTCTACACTTCGTTTCTTGGGACTTGGGAAGTGGCATTCTCTTTTCACTAAACATTGACGTGAATCAGTTGTGCAACATGCTGTAAACTAAAGTACCAGGCAGCTGTAACACGGGGAAAAATTTGGAAAAATATCTAGTTTCTAAAGAAGCAGGAGTTCTGTAAACAAACTTTAAATATGATATAAATGAAAATATATAAGTGTGTGAGACATCGCCATGCTGAATTATAACCAATGCTATTAAATGTAACGAAGACATTCTCGGTAACATATATAGTGAATTGACAGCTTGTGCAATGTTTTCCACGACTGTGTTAGTTATTTATTATCGACTGAAAATCAGGACGTTTGGTTGTGTCAGGAAGTCCTTTCCTGGGGACAGCCATTTTCCCAACTTTTCCCCATTTCCCACCACAGCTTTATGTTCATTTTGTTCAAAGCCAAAGTCCCAAAAGTCATTCAGCAGGAGGCGAGAGGGTTTCTCTAAGGGTTTATAAATGGGAGAGCTGTTTTATTTTGGTTAGGTTTACCGCACCCTTTTGATTTGATGTGCATGTATACATTAGTTTGAAATTTCTCCATCATCAAAGGCTCATAATATAGTCCCCACTCAGTGCTTACTCTGAATAGGATTAGAAAGGCAGAGACACCTAATAGAGCTGCCAGCTGGAAGGCGTTTTTCTTCCATTAATGTCAAAACGGTTTAGGAATTAATATGGGCTGATATTTCATTTCTGTTTTAAATCAGGCATGTTATATGTATCGCTGCAGTGGCGCAACCCAGGGTGGGATTAGGCATAAGTTTACGTCTTGGTGAGCAGTAATGAACTGATATTGACCAGACTTGGGGGATTAAAGCTTAACGGCGTTTTGACTGGATGAGGAAGAGGAGGTGGTCTGGCGGTTGTCTCGTGCTGGCCTTAAGCGCAAAAGCAGAGTTTTCGAACTTTAGAGTGGAAGCTTACTTCACCAGCCGCTGATGTGTTTAGGGCTGAAGTGTGCTTCGTGAATTATTAATAAAATGAGGCCTCACGCAAACGCTCGGCAATATAGGGCAGACGGGCCGGCGGGCAGGCTGTCATGTCAATCCCCCTGAGTGTGTTTTACACTGGGAGACCCCAAAACCTTCTTGCTGATGACAGTGAAACGTTGGATCCTCTATCCCCTCAGCAAAAAAGCACTTTCTCTGTGATTGTAGCGGAACTCAGAGGCATTATCAAGGAGGAAAGCAGAATGGGGAGTCAATTGGGCAATAAAACTCTGGCTTCTACTTGAGGATCCTGCGGTTGACTTTTTCAGTAGTAATAGAATCCTGGAAATCTAAGCAACTCAAGCCTTTGAGTCTTTTGGCTCCTGCCATAGCGTGTGCAGTGCATGTGGTTCGTGAGTGAGAAGAGTGGGAAATATTTCTACCCCGGCTGTGTGAGTGAGGGGAAAAGCCACTGCTTTATCACTTCTTTTACTTTGTGGTGGAGGGAAGATAATTGTGTCTGTTCAGCTGCCGAAGGCATGTAAATAATGCAGTTCCCAGGCAGAGAAAGTAAGAAAACACGCTGATCCCGGCCTGTAATAGCTTACGAAATTTGGGGTTTTACCTTCTTTTGATTTTAGCAATGATTTAGCAGCCTAATAAGTTTTAGAATAACAACCGAATAATTTCTTCATACAGAACTCTTTGAAACAACTTAAAATCCATGTTTACTGAAGAACGGGAACTGAGTGTTTCAAGGAATGCTTCGGAAAAATGTAATTTGCACAGTTTTCCACTTTCCCCAGATGTAGTCGGTCAGCCCGGGCATGTATGATGTCCGGATTTTGCTTTTTTAGTTTAGTGCTGGAGCTAACATTAGTTTAGTGCTATGAGCCTAACATTGCTAATGGGTACTAGAAGTCAGTAGTCACCCAAATCTTTTGTGTAAATATATCCACAAAACTTCTCTCAACCCTCTCATCCGCGGATCCATTTAGGTCTAAGACACAGTACAACTGTGAACTATATAATGAACAAAACTTTGCTGTGTAGCTATTCACAGAGGGAAACCAGCTATATGGCCATGACTTTATGGTAATTTGTAAAATGTGATTTACTGTCTCTAAGTCAAAAAACACAGTATATGGCACTTGAAACTAAAAGTCATGGCTATGGACAAATTGTCAAAGCAATAAGCCCCAGTAGGCTGTGTAGTACAGTGATTTTACCATGGTTAAGGGGTGTTGTTCAGCAATTATACACCAATATTCAGTAAATAGTTATTTATTGTAATATTTATTGTAATAATAATAATAACAATGAACAGTTTTTCTGCAAACTTAGTAAGCATTAGGCTGTGGTTGCTAAGCAATATAACAGTTCAAGGTTAACTTAAAGCCACATAATGCAGAATTCAACTGATGTGTGTGGTCATATGTGTGTATATGGAGTATTTTACTGCAGTTTTGAACATGAATAAGCTAGCAAGATTTTAGAACATCTATTTTATAAAATCGCCTTTTAACCTGCTCTCCATTGATGTAATGCAGTAAAGTTTTATTTTTAATTTCTATAAAGATGCCATGGATTTTTTTTTTTTGCATGTTCCTTCAAGCTTTCTTCCCTTCTGCTCTGCGTCAGGTTCTCTCTCCATCCTCAAAGCTGTGGACCGTGAGGAGCAGGACAGCTATAATCTCACTATCGTCGCTGAGGATCATGGGACACCGCAGCACTCCACCACTCAGGTGCTGTCGGTGCAGGTCATTGACGTGAATGATGAGGCTCCCTGGTTTGAGAAGAGCGAGTATGAGGTCAACGTCAGAGAGAACCAGCCGGCCGGAACCGCTGTACTCACCGTATCTGCCGCTGACAGAGATCAAGGTGAGACGATCCATAGCGTTTGCTCATCAAAGGTTTATGTACGTCTTTACACTGTTACTTTTCAATCAGCCCTTGTGTGGTGTTGATGTGTTTGTTACTCAGTGGTCTGGTGGACCCACCACATTACTGTTCAATACAGCCGTAACAGTTTATGTAAAAATACCAGATGTTTAAAATATCACAAGTGTCCAGCGTAGGGTTCTCCTTTAGCAGCTGTAGCCAGTCAGCAGCCTGTCCATGTTGTCCACCCTCAAACACAAACATACACACACACACACACAACACACACTAACAGCAGGCCATGTAGGAGGAGAACAGAGTGAAGGACACAGCACCTCCACACTTTTACTCCCCGCAGGTTCACCCAGCACCACATGTGTAATATAAATGTGTGGGGGGTGAACAGAGTGAAGACACTGAAAATGGGTTATTTTATATGTTCTTCACAGAAAATGAGCAAAGGACAAAAATCTGAGGTTAAAATAATAATAAATCACATCATTTTTTCTTGTGGTAAACAAAAGTTCACAGACCTGAACACCACACAAGAGTTAAGGAAGTAAGACAAATAATTGGAGCATGTTTAGGAATATAGAGGAGCTTTTCACTGATACCTTGAATACATTTAGCCAGAGCTTCATATTCATCAAAGTACCACGCTTGGTATGATAAGTAGGTTTTGCACAAATAATGCTTCACAATGCTCCACAGGGACCCCCAGGTGGCCCATATTTTTGCTCTAGCCCTATGTGTTGGGAGTTGGGATAGAACAAAAATGTAGAATGGCAAAAATGTAGGTGGTTCCTGAGGACAGAATTGAAAACCACTGGTTAAAAGTACTTTTTTGGCCCGAAGGTGGTTTAACAACAGGAGGATAAAATGCATGGGCTTTGAAATTACGCCCAGCTTAGTACCTCTGTCAACTGTTCCTTCAGTTTTGCAGATTTTGCAAGGAAAATGCCTCTTTTAACCTCTTCCTATTGGCTCCCTATTGGCCGTTCTGACAGCGAAATGGAAATCAACTTGGATATTTTTCTTTTGTATAATCGAATAAAAGAGCTTTCCCCATAACTCAGTTATCTGATTAAATAGGACACTCTTGGCTCTCTGAGTGTGAAATGTTGTAAGCTGTTATCGAGCACTGAGAGGTGAAGGAGGGGAGGGGTCAGAATCAGTCCACACCTTTCCACAAGGACAGCCATACTGAGACCAAACAGAAAGCACAGCTGCAGCATTCTTCACAGCAGAAGATCTTGTACAACTGACACAATAAAAAAAAGCATTTAAGCTCAGTAAAAAATGACTTGCTTGGTCACCGACAAAGATGATAATCCAGTTGGCTTTCGGTTTTGTAAATTGTACATATTTCCAATAAAATATGTGGCGTCAGTGAAGAATAAGACTCGGGAAACAAAGGCTCTGTTCACACAGCAGGTGAAAGTGGCCTAAATCAGATCTTTTTCTTCATATGTGACACAGATGTGAACAGCAAAAACACGTTAAATCTGACATTCTCTATTCCGATTTGGGACACTTTCATATGTGGTACCAAAATCCGATCCAATATGCGGCAGTGCGACTCAGTCTGAAGAGTCAGATTGGAATTCATGCGACTTTTATGTCAATTCAGTTCGACTTTCATCATCATTTTGATCTGCTGAGACCTCATAAACATTTAGTCTGATGTTTCTGTACCAAAAAATCAGAAGAAACGTATCGCACCCGCTCTGTGTTCAAAAAATTGTAGAAAAAAGTGACTAAATGTGGCCGTAGGAGAACGTGGCTGCAGCGTAAGGGAAAAGTCTGAAAGCACTCCTGTGATGCTGGTGAAGATGAAACTGAACCCTCCAGGAGTGACTTGCGTTCGTTGGCAGTCATGATTGTTTATGTGAAGCATTGTTCTTTTGTGCATGTGGGTCAGTTTAGGAGCTGATCTGTTCAGACTGATGTCACATACAGATCACATTTAAAAGATATTGTGAGCAGCCAAACAAAAAAAATCTGATTTGGTGAGAAAATCAAATTTGGGCCACTTTTACCTGCTGTGTGAACGAAGCCATAGGGCGTCAAGCGAATGCTCTTTTATTGAGCACAGCAGCAGGGGAGAACCACCACTCGGTGCTCCTGAACAGCCAGGAAAATGGGGCAGGTCATCAATAGTCCATGGTCCAGTAGTCCAACTCCAGTCCACTCCAGATCCACTGCCACCAACCCACAGCCTAGCATATCAAGTCAAGACAAGTCAAAGTTTATTTATATAGCACTTTTTACAACAGGTGTTTTCACAAAGCAGCTTTACAGAAAAATTCGGGCGTCGCCAATGGCGACAGTGGCAAGGAAAAACTCCCTAAGGGCAACAGGAAGAAACCTTGAGGGGAACCAAGACTCAAAAGGGGAACCCATCCTCCTCTGGTTGACACTGGATAGCAAACAGCATACAAAAACAGGAAAAACAGGTGGAACAATGGTTAATTAGATAGTTTGAGTTCATGCAGCAGTAGCATCATCAGGACGGTCAGTTCATGCAGGTGAGGTTTGCACAGCTTTGTACAGAGTGAAGCTCCATGGTGGTCAAAACGGTGCAGATCAGCCAACGGAGATCGAGCTCTGGTGACTCTAGCAGCTCTGGTGGCTCCCATGTGGCGACTCAGGCAACGTCGCTCAGAAGAGAGAGAGAGAGCGAGAGAGAGACAACAACAACAAGTACAAACAACATTCCAGCACCAGTAACCCCCCCAACAACTTATTTAAAGTCTCTCCTTTTGGCACCGGCACCTCCCAGCAGCCTGTGCACGTGGCCGCTCTGCATGGCCATGCGAGCCGGTAGCGGGACGCCACAATATATTCTGTTAACGTTACTGAAGTAAAAATGCATCGTTCAACTCAGGGACCTCCGAAAGAGGCGAAAACTGCATTTAATGGCTGTTGTGCAAAATAACATATTGAACTGTTGCAAACCAGCAAAACTCAAGCTCATTTGTATTTAAAACATTTTGAAAATCCCACCACTGGCAGAGCAGTTATCAGCCTGTCCTCTCATGCATTTCCTTCTACAACCCCATTTCTAGAAAAGTTGGGACTCAAATAAAAACACAATGCAATGATGTGCAAATAAATTAAACCCTATGTTTAATTCAAAATAGTACAAAGACAACATATCAAATGTTGAAACTGAGAAATGTTTGTTTTTTTTTAAATATATATGCCCATTTTGAATTTGATGCCAGAAACACGTTCCAAAAAAGTTGGGACGGGGGCAACAAAGGGCTGGTAAAGTTGTGTAATGTAAAAAAAAAAGTGCATTAGTGCACATGGTGTGGGTGACGTGCACATCTGTGAAGGCACCATTAATGCTGAACGAAATATACATGTTTTGGCAACATATGCTGCCATCCAGACGACGTCTTTTTCAGGGAAGGCCTTGATTATTTCAGCAAGACAATGACAAACCACATTCTGCATGTATTGCTCTTTTAATACATTGCTCTGTATTAAAAGAGTTAAGGTGCTAAACTGACCTGCCTGCAGTCCAGATCTGTCACCACTGAAAACATTTGGTGCATTATGAAATGAAAAATAGGGCAAAGGAGACTCCGAAATGTTAAGCAGCTGAAATCCTATGTTAAGCAAGAACAGGAAAACATTTCACTTTCTAAACTACAGCAGTGTCTCCTCAGTTCCCAAACACTTACAGAGTGCTGATAAAAGTAGAGGTGATGAAACACAGTGGTAAACAGGCCCCCGTCCCAACTTTTTTGGAATGTGTTGTTGGCATCAAATTCAAAATGGGCATTTATTTTTCAAAAAACAATAAAATTTCTTAGTTTCAACATTTGATTTGTTGTCTTTGTACTATTTTCCTTTAAAAATATGGTTCACATGATTTGCATATCATTGCATCCTTTTTTTGTTTGCATTCTGCACAGCGTCTCAACTTTTTTGGGAATGGGGTTGTACTTCTGCTATAAACATTTTACATAGTCAGCAACAGTTTTACTTCAGAAATTTGATTTGGCACCTCGTTTTTGAGAGTGTATTGTGTCTAAGAGTTAGGCACGCACATTTTATGTCTTGTTTTTCACAGTTACGTGCCATTAGAACAAACAATTCAGTGCTGTGCCTTGTTGCAAACCAGAAGCAAAGGTTTTTAATCGCTCATATGGAGAAGATTGTGGGGATCCTTCTCTCTCTCCCCGGCTGAGTGTAAGGGCATGAAACAGAGCAGCTGTAAAGACTGTCTCCAGGAGTCATTACCGGAGTAAACAGGTGCTGCTGCCAAATCCAGTTCACTCTGCACGCAATCTGGCAGCCGCGTGCCAGCTACAGCCCACAGTGGAGAAAAAGTGCCAAAGGCTAAAACAGCACGTTTGCCCGTTAATAAGGTTGCCTTGTCCTTAAATCAGATTTGGAATGTTTTTATATCTCTGTTAATTGGAAAATTAACTTACATAGCAATTCTGGTTCTTTGCAGGATCACAGTTCAAGAAGTCATTCATTGGCATTCATTTTTACACCTCTGTTCATCAGACAAGTGTAGTTTAGACAGAACTATCAATATCTGTATCGGGCCGATATCACAAAAAAAGATGCATTGAATATCACAGAGGTGAGAACGGTTCTGCGCTTGAAGAACACGTCGTGAATCTGACGTAGACTTTTTCTTAGGACCTTTCTCAAGAACAAATGTAAGAAAAAACCTAGGAAGATATTGGACAATGAGGCCCACTGAGCTGAGCTCAGTAGCTAAGTATTATGCTGCATTCGACTAAGCTTGTAACCTGGAGTTCCCCACTTCCGACTCGAAAAAAATCAAAGAAAATGACGTTCAGCTGGGAATTCTCAACTCTGAGCCCATCGTATGACGTCAGATCAACATGGGTGCTCAAGCAGTCAATAATAATAAAGAATTACTACTTCTAAATGATGTGAGTAAATCTATAAGGTGCTGTTCTTTTCCCCAATTTTGTCGTCCCCAATTCCACCCACTAGTTAGGACTCCCCCAATCACACAATACTACCAATGCTAGGAGCGTGAAGGCCAGCAGAGGCTTCCTCTGAGACCTGTGAAGCGCCACCACATCTTTTTGAACTGCTCATGCAACGTCACTGGACAATCTAACACACTTGGAGGAAAGCGCCAACCTATGCCAACGACTAGCATAGCTTTGAGTGATGGGGGGAGTAGGGGGGGCCATCATACCCACCCAGAGAGAGCGAGGCCAATTGTGCTGTCTAGGACTCCCGGCTACGGACGGCTGTAGCATCACCAGGGATCAAACTCGCGATCTCCTGATGAGAGGGCCGACGCTTAGACGGTTGCGCCACTCAGGAGCTCCCAAAAAGGTGCTGTTTTGAGAAAGAAAATACATCCTGAATTTTAAAATCACTCACTTTCGTAGAGGCATCAAGTTTTTCCCACTTTGTAGCTCAAATGATGCAATTCCAAGGTCCGACTTCCCCCTTCTGAGCCAAACAGAACAAAGCATTATACTGTAATTACAATTCCTTTATTTAAACCAGTTAGACTGTGCTACTTTTAGTTGGTCATTTTAAATAAGGCACTTCAATTAAAATGCTTAATTTTAAGGCTTAATCATTTTTCATGTATAATAATATCAGTCTGGTATCAATATCATCCAAAAGGTTTAAAGAAAAGTGCTATTGTGGTGTCCAGCTTTAAGTAACAGTTCACACTCCAAGAATTAAATCATCAGCTTGTTCTTTGACCTTTGCTTCAACTCTGTTTCAGGTACTAACGGGCGTGTAACTTATGGAGGTGTGACAGTGGAAGGCTTCCTCATTTCTCCTGACACTGGAGTCATTTCACTCACCAAGGTCCTTGACAGGGAGCAGCAGGATCACTATACTGTGACTGGTAATGAACTGTTTTCCTATGTTTTGGAAAGAGGCAACATATGCAGTGTTCTTATCAGGGTATTGCTGACATGATTTCTTTGTTATATGTGATGCAGTGTATGCCAAGGATGGAGGGATGCCCCCTAACTTTGCCAAAGCCACGGTGCATATCACAGTCCTGGATGAGAATGACAATGCTCCGGTTTTTGGGAGGCTACAGTACAGTCTTGAGCTGCCAGAGAACCTCGAACCTGTAGAGCTTTTTATCATCAAAGCCACTGACCAAGACAGCGGTGAGAGTGGCAGACTGGAGTACAGGATTACCGGTAGGTTTTTATAGTGAGAGAGGCCCAAACGTTTTGATTAAGGTCGAGGACAAGACCACATGAAGGTGTGCTGTTTTGAATGTAAAGCACTGAATGCAGTAACACTGACATGGTGGTGGTGTGTTAGTGTGTGTTGTGCTGGTCTGAGTGGATCAGACACAGCAGTGCTGCTGGAGTTGTTAAACACCTCAGTGCCACTGCTGGACTGAGAATAGTCCACCAACCAAAAATATCCAGCCAACAGCGTCCTGTGGGCAGCCTCCTGTGACCACTGATGAATGACTAGAGGATGACCAGCATAAACTATGCAGCAGCAGATGAGCTATCGTCTCTGACTTTACATCTACAAGGTGGACTGACAAGGTAGGAGTGTCTAATAGAGTGGACAGTGGGTGGACACAGTGTTTAAAAACTCCAGCAGCACTGCGGTGTCTGATCCACTCAGACCAGCACAACACACACTAACACACCACCACCACGTCAGTGTTACTGCAGTGCTGAGAATGATCCACCACCCAAACAGTACCTGCTCTGTGAGGGTCCATGGGGGTCCTGACCACTGAAGAACAGGGTAAAAGGGGGCTAACAAAGTATGCAGAGAAACAGATGGACTACAGTCTGTAACTGTAGAACTACAAAGTGCACCTATATAGTAAGTGGAGCTGATAAAATGAACAATGAGCATAGAAACAAGGAGGTGGTCATAATGTTATGCCTGATTGGTGTACTTCCCTCAGCTTGGATTTTCTTTTGTAGTGGTCATGTTTGAATAGAGACTGACCGGCAACAGTCCACAGAAACATCAAGGGTACTGCATCTTCCTTGAGTTCAAAATCTGGATTTGGCATAAACATTTTGGCTATTGCTGTGGCCAAAAACCTGCAGATCTACTTGAATGAGATTGTACTGGCACAATAACTGACTGTTGACGTGGGTGATGTATAACAAGTTCGGTACATTGGAAGTCCAAGTTTTTTCATTTGTCAGAGCGCTCTCCATTAAAAGTTCTTAAATGGTTCCTGGCTTGAATGTAGTTGGTATTGAACTTTTACATTAGGTGACGGTTCTTTAAACTTTGGAACCACTTCACATTTCATTTATTGAGAGGTTCTATAGGAAACCGAAATGGCGTTGCTGTAAACAATCTTTTATTTTTAAGAGAGCCAAAAAGCAGCTCATTTTTAACCCTTGTGTGGTGTTCCGGTCTGTGGGACCCATTTTCAATGTTAACCAAAAGAAAAAATGATGTGATTTATTATTATTTTAACCTCAGATTCTTGGCCTTTGCTCATTTTCTGTGAAGAACATATAAAATAACCCATTTTCAGTGTCTTCACTCTGTTCACCCCCCACACATTTATATTACACATGTGGTGTTGGGTGAACCCGCGGGGAGTAAAAGTGTGGAGGTGCTGTGTCCTTCACTCTGTTCTCCTCCTACATGGCCTGCTGTTAGCATGTGCGTGTGTGTGTGTGAGGGTGGACAACATGGACAGGCTGCTGACTGGCTACAGCTGCTAAAGGAGAACCCTACACTGGCCACTTATGATATTTTAAACATGTGGTGTTTTTACATAAACTGTTATGGCTGTATTGATTAAAAAACCAATAATGTGGTGGGTCCAGCAGACCACTGAGTAACAAACACATCAACACCACTCAAGGGTTAAGAGTGGCTTGATGTACTTTAAGTGTCAAGTGTTTATCAGCCTAAATCCTCACTAAGATCCCTCTTTTTTTTCCTAAGCTGGAGACCCAGATGGTGACTTTCAGCTGGACAGCAGCTCAGGAGCTTTGTCCACCTCTCGACCCCTGGACAGAGAGAAGAGAGACAGCTACTCTTTGCAAGTGGTTGCCCAAGACCATGGCAGCCCCTCCCTCAGCAGCACAGCCACTGTGGAAATCACTGTACTTGACGTCAATGACAACAGCCCCAAGTTCAGCAGTAGTAGCTATACCATAGATGTTTCAGAAGATGCAGCTGTTGGGTCTCCGGTGCTGGATGTGACAGCCAAAGATGCTGATGATGGACAGAATGGTCAGATCTTGTACTTCCTGAGCAACGAAGCTCGAGGTGCTTTCACAGTAGATCCTGACACAGGTAGAATTGTCACAGCTGCTCCACTGGACAGAGAGAGAATAGCCTCCTACAGCTTCCAGGTGTGCGCTGTTGACCTGTCCCCAGCTTCGCCCCGTAACACCACGGCCCAGGTCACCGTCACCATCCTGGACGTTAACGACAACGCGCCCTTCTTTATCCAGGATCCCCTCATCATCAACGTGTCCAGCAGGAGCGTGTCCACCAACCACGTGGTGGCTACCATGAGAGCAGAAGATAAAGATTTTGGGGCCAATGGCTCCGTGTTTTATCGTTTTGCCGTTCCTGTGCGAGGCTTCTCCATAAACTCCCTGACTGGAGAGATCCGGACCACGGAGTTGCTGAGCAGCTTGACCCAGAGTCAGCGTACGCTCATCGTGGAGGCCATGGACCAGGGCAACCCTGTCCAGTCCTCCTTGGGGGTAGTCATCATCTACGTGAAGGAACAGGACTACCAGGGCATCCGCTTCTCGCGCACCACCAGAGACGTCAGCATCCAGGAGAACGCAGCCAAAGGTTCGTGAAATAGGCAAAGATTTGTGATGTAAAGTTTGTAGTCTAGTCTGCAGTAGTGAGTTTTGGGGCCGAACCAATATGAAAATTTTAGGAAGCTAAAATTCGGGTAACCAAGAAACTCGGCGGATGTAGTTTGAATAAACAGACGCCCAGTAGTTTTAGTTAGAGTGCTTTGCTGTCTGTTGTGATTGTTTGGGATGCGCATTTCAGTTAAATTTAATATTTGAATTTGTAAAGTATTATTTAATGGATATTACCTAACAAATACCCCTCCACCCCCTAAAATAAATAAATAAATAAAAAGTATAGGACTCTTCAGGCTACCACACACAGGACACATCAGGCAAGCACCACCAGGACCAGTGATGCCACTCAGCATTGTACTATTACCATTGGTAATGCTGTTTCACCATATTAAACCCAGACTCAGAACACAAATACATAGGAGGTGACGTAGCTTGATGTTTACATCAGGACAGGCACTAAAGTCTTTTTTTTTTACATGTTTTTGTATTGAAATATAAAAAAAAAAGGTTATTTGTAAAAAAAAAACAAAAAAAACATTGCAGCATATCTGTTTCAGTAGTGACAGTTCTTTTTTTTTATTTATGATAGCAGACAGATGTACAGTGCATGAGGCAAACAAGTAAGATTAAAAAAACAGGAAAAGCCAGACAAAAATCATGACAACAGTACATTAGACAAACAAATAAAGTGAAAAAACAAAAAACGTATTAATAATAATAATAATAATAATAATAATAACAATAATTATTAGACGCTAAAGTCTTTAAGATAAACAGAGAAATTCTAATCGCATGTTTTCACCTCAGCTAACATTACTAGTCTAGTCACATCATATTTCACCCCAAACCTTTCAGCTCAAAAACCTAGTTTATGAGCTGATAACACACACATCTTCTAAGCCGCTTATCCTTCTGGGTTGCGGGGAGAGCTGGATACACCCTGGACAGATCACCAGTCCATCGCAGGGCAGACAGACAGACAGACACATACATTCACACACACACACTCACACCTAGGGGCAGTTTAGCATGTCCAATTGGCCTGACTGCATGTTTTTGGACTGTGGGAGGAAACCGGAGAACCCGGAGGAAACCCATGCAGACACAGGGAGAACATGCAAACTCCACACAGAAAGGATCCTGGACACCCAGCCGGGGAATCGAACCCAGGACCTTCTTGCTGAGCTGATAACAATTTAGTAAATTAATTGAATGAAAGTTTTGTTTCATTGAATCTAAACGAGAATAGTGTAAAATTAATTTGGGCACTTTTCTGTAAAGCCTCCTATGTGCTGTAGCTGTGCTACGCAGCATGAGGAACCCAAGGGCTGCATAGCATTGAGCTTCTATTCAGTGTGCAGTAGCCTTTAGCCAGCCGCAGTAGTCTTTCTGTGCTTTCTTATTCGAGCTAGATAGGTAAGAAACTCTGCCCAAAGCGTAAGATGTGGGTTCTTCACTGTCCTTTGGTGGAGTATAAAGTTCAGACATCTCGTGATTCTTCAATATTTGAGAGAAGCTAATTTGCATATCAAAAATATATATTATTCAATGTTTTTAATTTTCGCAACTATTTAAAATAGTCCACGTGGGTTTCCTCCGGGTACTCCGGTTTCCTCCCATGGTCCAAAGACATGCAGTCAGGCCAGTTGGAAATGCTGAATTGCCCCTAGGTGTGAGTGTGTGAATGTGTATGTCTGTCTGTCTGCCCTGCGATGGACTGGCGACCTGTCCAGGGTGTATCCTGCCTTCCGCCCAATGACAGCTGGGATAGGCTCCAGCACCCCACCGTGACCCAGAAGGATAAGCGGTTTAGATGATGTATGTATGTATGTATGTATGTATGTATGTATGTGACTTGTTATTGTGCAATAGATTTTGTTTTTAATTTGTCATGAGGAGTGATGGAGAGTTTAATTTGTCAATTTGCCTTTAAAATAGACATTAAATCACAAACATTACACAGTTAACAGTGCTTAAATGCTGAAAGCTCCATCGTCGTTCTCTGGCAAAATCTCTTTGCACACAGGCGCCACATTGGAATTCAGGCTGTCAGGTCTAGTGAATGTGATTGCTGTGCTGAGCTGCAGGCTCTTTCGTTCCCTTAGGTACCGCAGTAGCTCAGGCCCAGGCGCAGTACCCGGACGGCACCCGCAGTGGCATCACGTACAGCATCTTCAGTGGGAACAGACAGCAGTCCTTCAGCATCACTTCCAGCACGGGTCAGTTTCCACAGCATTCAAGTTCAGGTGGAGTTCAGTGCTGCCCTCCCAGGCCTCCCATGAGTCTACTGGGGTCTTCATTTAATCAGATTTTTGTAAAAGGTTTATATATCACTGAATGCATGTATCTTAGATCAGCACTCTTAATCTGTGACATTTTACTATATATTTGTGTAGGCCAAGTTTACAGGGGAACTCCATCGATTTTTCAAAATTTCTGCATAATTCAATCACTGAAGTGAAAACAAAGTCATTCAGAGTGGTTTGATGTGAAACGCTCCATTCTAGAGGAACTTAGCAACTTATTTTCTTTGTAATGGTGATGATTTTAACCAGGGTCATGATGTGTACACTAATATAGCTTTCCAAAACAACCAGCGAACAACCAGCAAGGTAAAGTAGTCCTAAAATTCTGATAAAAAATGTTTTTTGGGGGGTCTATTTTGCCTTATAACACCCTACATGTACCACTATACCATAAATAGACTTACTTTTAAGCCAGAACACAAACAAACAATGTCTTAGGCATCAGGCAATGTATTTGTAACTGTGATGTAGCTTTTAGAGGCATTAAACTTTCCAGACATCTGGTTCCTATCACCACTGCTGTGATCAAGTCTGTCTCTGTATGTTTCTCTAAAATGCAGCATTTCACATCAAACCACTCTGAGTACTTTGTTTGCATCTTAATGTAATAATGCAGAAAAAAATGTAATCGGTAGAATTTCCCTTTAATAAAGCTGTATATCCTCAGACAGGGGATATGTAAAGTAGTAATAGTAGACAGCTGTTTAACTGGGCCATCCCTGTTTTTGTTCGCAGGTGAGATTTGGGTTCAGAGCTCCAGTGGCCTGGATTTTGAAGACACTCCAAGACTCCGCCTAGTGGTAAAGGCTGAAACTGCAACTTCCAGCTCATTCATGGCTGTCAACCTCATTCTTCAGGACGTCAATGACAACCTGCCCCGCTTCCAGCTGCAAAACTACGTGGCATACATGCGTGAGGCACAGGGCTATGACTCTCCTATTATTCAGGTTAATCTTCTTTGTACTTTCAAAACAAATGAACAAAGATCTAATAAATTAAGCTGGCATTTGAATACAGATTCAGCCGATGCATTAGAAATGAACATATTTGAATGTGTCTCAGGTTGGCGTGACGATACTATTGCTGTCTTGCACCGAATCAACCTTAATATGCTGTCTGTCATCAGGTTGTAGCTGAGGACGTGGATCAAGGCCCTAACGGTCAGGTCACCTACTCCATCCAGTCCTCCAGCCGCAGCGGCTTGTTTAAGATCGACCCTCTGACCGGCAGCATCACCACAGCGGCCATCATGGACCGGGAGATCTGGATGCAGACCAAGTGAGTGCTGCTTTTTTGTGCATGTGCGCCGTGTTTGGCAGGCGAGTAAAGCCGAAGCTCTGCAGGTTTTTTATTTCCTTGAGCTCTGTGGAATGTACTCGTCCTCCCCTTACACGCCGTTATCAGCCTGCTTGTGATGTGTTCAGGACCTTGCAGTCTTCGCCATGTGTTTCATTTCAGACGTGCTCCCCCGATCTCTATCATGCTGTGAGGTTTTCATTTCCCACATATTTGGTTATGCTGGTGATTTGAGGTGCATTGTGAATATGATCCTTTGTCCCTTTTGAAAATAAAACACACTTTTTCTCAACTTTTCTCTCTTTAGACAGAGCAGGAGGAAAGGGATGTGGATTAAAACTGACATTGGCTCTATGCTTATTTTTATATACTTTTTTTGTACAGCACTTCATATACATTTTTTTGTATGACCCCACCCGTGGTCCACTTACGCCTTTTTTTGTCTTAATGTGTTTTTCTATGACCCTTTTCCAACCTCTCTTTATTTCATGGAGCTAAACAGGCTGTTTTGTAACCGTGCCTTTAAGATTAATGTATATAAATGATCTCTGTTTTGATTGGCTGCCTGTAATCCAAATGCTTTTTAACTGTAATTCTCCCAGCTGGCTAAAACTCCTGCACAGTACTGTATTTTAATTGGAAATAGGCTGTTTTTTACAGCTTAGCTCCCATACATGGGCTGGGGAGTGAACATTTTTTTAAATTTAATGTTTACAAACTGCACAAATGTTGTTTTTTTATCAAAAAAGTTCTTAATTTTTTTCCATGATATGAGCTTTAAATACCTCTCTTTATTCCATGGAGTTAAACAGGCTCTTTTGTAACTGTGCCTTTAAGATTAATGTACATAAATGATCTCTGTTCTGATTGGCTGCCTGTAAATGTGCCTTGTTCAAAGAACTGTCCAGCCTGAAACACTCCTTGTAATGTGAATGGGTGGGACAGACCTCTGTAGACTGAATAGGCAGATATATAGTACTGGGCAAAAGTCTTAGGCCTCTGTTGTTTAGTTCTTGTGAGCCTGTTTGAAAACAAGCTTTGATTCCAGATTTCTCCAGGAAGCATAGATTTGCTAACGTTTTGTCACCAGCACACTTAATTTAACTTGAATAGGAACTGATTATCCAAACCAGGTACTGGCTGATAACTACAAGTAATAGTGGGCAGTTGTTATGAGATAAAGATGACGTAAAACCATTGAATTTATTAAATTGTTTTCTGAGCAAATAAGCATCTATTGCCTGGTTAGCTGTTTTTTAATTGTAATTTTCTCAGCTGGCTAAAACTCCTGCACAGTACTGTTTTTTTTATACATTTTTGTGACATCACAAAGATGATTAATTGGAAATAGGCTGTTCTTAACAGCTTAGTTTCCATATATGGACTGAGGAGTGAACAGAACATTTTTTTAAATTGAATGTTTACAAACTTTTTTTTATCGGAAAAGTACTTAAAATTTAGTTTTCCATGACATGGGCTTTAAATATGCTCTATAAATAAAACTTTGAACTGATAGTGAAGAGAGATGTTATGTATCAGGGGGTGGGGGGGGGCTGTGGTGATCTCATTTCTTGACCTTTGATCTGTATCTTTTTCATATCAGGCTGGTGATTACAGCGACAGACCGTGGCAGCCCCAAGCTTGCTGGTTCAGCCACCCTGACTGTCATCATCGTGGACCTCAATGACAACAGCCCTACGATCCCCCTGCCGAGAGAAGTGAGAGTGCCAGAAAGTGAGTAAGCTAACGTGCCTTTTGATTGTTGCTGTGAATGACTCATTAGATTCTTCTCCCTGAGGAATAACAGCCCACAACTTCTCGTTAGCCTCACTATAACCACATTTGCCTTGCTTGGAGTCTCCTTATTCACTGACTTCCTATGGGCATGCGAAGCTGTTGAGCGTTCATATGTCCATACCTGTTTCTTTTCACCGTACACCCGCTGAGAGTGTGTTCTGTCTCTCCCCCAGACTCACTTATCGGCACCGAGATCACCATGGTAACGGGGAACGATGTGGACTCGGGCCCAGCGCTTTCTTATTCTCTCCGTCTGGACACTCCCTCGCAGGGCAAGTTTGGAATCCACCGCTATAACGGCAGGGTGTTTCTGACTGCTCCGCTGGACTTTGAGGAGAGGACGTGGTACACCCTAACAGTTCAAGCCTCGGACTCTAAGCATCAGAGCGAGGCCAATCTCACTGTACTGGTGGAGGACGTGAATGATAATGTGCCTACTTTCACACAAGACCTGTACCAGGTAAACTGCAGGAATAATGAATAGATGGGTCATTCTACAGAAACGTCCACTTTCCTATCTAACCATAGGGGTCACTGGTGTTACTGATCATCATTGGTGTTACACAATAAAGGTAACACCAGAGACATTTTAATGAACAATGCATTTTACAAAATGGCTGCTATAGAACATCAAACCACATGTTGTCAGTCATGGAATATCCACAAAAATATGGAATATAATCCATTTATATTCTATTTTTTCACAATTACCTCAGAATAAAGTCACACGAGTGACTTCAACTAAAAGCTTCATATGAAATCATGAGCTAAATGAGAAAATCTCTGACAACTGAAAGACACAGTGGACTCACCATGTGCTTTTGTTCATAGATCCTCAGAAAACAGGTAAAAGGAGGTCAAATGATGTCATCAGTGTGACTTTTATTTCAAAATAAGAGATTTTTTGTTACGCGGTAACACCAGTGACACGACTCCTGGGGACAACAACTTTCATTATATATTTTATAATATTTATTTGTCATTTGTTTTCTTTATGTCATTTAATTTATATATTTCATAGTCATGTATAGATTATTGTAGTTAAAATAGCATTTTTTTCTTCAAAATATGGCCTCATCCTTCACACAAGACTGTGAGGACGAGCTCTTCTGTGGTGCTTGGACTTCTAGATGATTGATTTAAAAACCAATATTACTAAATTGATGCTCAAGAGGGTGTAATTGTTAAAATAGCTTATTGTTTTATCTTAAAATATAAAAAAATGTAACCTTAACATGTTTTTAAGTGTAATATATCTATAAACACTAGGGACACGAAAATGGACGTTTCTGTAGAATGACCCAGATGCATTTTTCACAAACTGTGCGTCGACATGGCTCAGTTATTGGAACACTTTCTCTATTTTAGTGTCATTTCTTATTTAAGACTTGTACTAACAGACTCATGTGTTAGGTTACCAATTTCATGGAAAAAGCGAGTAAGAAAAGCGAGAGAAAAAAAGAGGTTTTCCCGACACTATATTTGTGCTTTTTCTGAAGATTTATTTGGAGCTGTATTTTCCTCATAAAAAAGTCTGAGTGCTAATTTGCGCTAATTCATCAGATGCAGACGGATGACCTTCCCAGCTTTTCGCACCTTATTAAATTTGATAGACAGTTCAAATAAATTTACCTCAAGCGCATATTCCAGAATACACAGGGAATCGCTGTGCACAGCCATAAAAACTTTAATAGATGAATGAATCTGGATGTAGAGGTTGCATTAAGCTTATTGCTCTGCGGTGGTTAAGGAAATGACATCAACATTTGCAGAAGGAGCTGTTTATTAAAATAAGGGGGAAAGGAAGAAAGGAGTAAGAAAATGTTCCTTGCTTGGGAACCTACACTGAAATACAGCATACCTAGTTATTGCTCTGTTGTGGTTTCCCAGGTGACGCTGCCAGAACATTCTCCTCCAGGCAGTCCTGTGGTCACGGTAACAGCCACAGATCGAGACTCGGGAGAGAATGGAAGGGTCACCTATCGAGTGATGTCGTCATCCCGGGATGGCTTTTATATTGACCCCAATAACGGTACGATGTTCTGTTTTGATGTTGTCACATTTTCTGTTTTATGGTTTGTACTGTGTAAATGAAATGGTAAACAGTTATATCACACTTCCAAGCAACTTCCATGTGTTTTTCCCTTTACAGGCACTTTGTTCATCAGCCAGAAAGCTGAATTTGACCCAGAGCGTCCATCTGTGAGTGTGGTCATTGAGGCTTGTGATGGTGGAAAGCCACCTCTGTCCTCCATTGCCACTGTCCAGGTCCAGCTCACAGATGTGAATGACAATGCCCCCACGTTTCATCAGTCGGAATACAGAGCCGCAGTGTCTGAGGACCAGCTCCCTGGAGCCACCATCCTGACCTTGGAAGCAGTGGACGGTGACCTTTCGCAAGAAAACTCAGGCTTCGATTTTGCCATCGCAAGTGGAAACGTCGGGAACGCCTTTCAGATCGAGAGTAGTGTTCGTTTCATTGAAGGTCATGGCTTTCAGACAGTAGGGACACTGATCTTGGCAGAACAGCTGGATTTTGAGGCAACATCTCGCTACAACCTCACTATCGTGGTATCAGATCGCGGTGTTCCCCAGCGCAGCTCCAGTGTGCCTGCTGTCATCACTGTGATTGATGTCAATGACAACCCGCCTGTATTCAGCCACGCTGAATACATAGTGGCTCTGAGTGAGGGAGCTGCAGCCGGCACCGAAATCCTACGGCTGTCTGCAACTGATCAAGATTCAGCCCCCCATGCCGAGATCCAATACAGCATTAGCTCTGGAGACGAGAAGGAGCTGTTCTCAGTAGACCAGTGGACTGGAGCACTGCGACTGCAGAGGCCTCTTGACCGAGAGACTCAGCCTTCCCATGTAGTCATCATTCAAGCCTCAGACGGTCATGGTCACTTTGCTCTGGCTCCTATCAATGTGGAGGTGAAGGATGTCAATGATAATAGGCCCTACTTCCCTATTGAGACAATGTCTGCAAGCATTCGAGAAAACCAACCCCCTAATTCAGCAGTCACAGTGTTGCATGCCATAGACCATGACACTGGCATCTATGGACAGCTGAAATACTTTATAGTAGACAAACCCAGTCAAGGAAAAGACTTCTTTGCGGTGGATCAGACCACAGGGGAAGTGCGTTCTCGTCAGGCCTTTGACTTTGAGAAGGTGAACTCTTTTCATTTCATGGCTTTAGCTGTTGATGCAGGTAACAACTCTGCCACAGTCACTGTACAAGTCTATGTCACCGGGGAGGATGAGTATGATCCGATCTTCACTTCCTCAGCCTTCTCCTTCGAGGTGCCAGAAGGAGCCAAAAAGGGCCAGAGTATTGGGCAGGTGCAAGCCATGGATGAGGATGGTGGTGTGGATGGGATCGTGCTCTACTCTTTCCCAAACAGCTCTCCGTACTTTGAGGTGAACAAGACCACTGGTGTGATCTACCTCAAAATGGACAGCTCTGGAAGTTCTGGTGGATCAGGCCGCTCCAAAAGGGAGACTCGCCTTATGACCATGGATGTTACTGCCCATAGTCCTCTAGAAACCTCAAGGGTCACAACTGCCCAACTAACCATTGATGTCACCAACACTTCTTTTGGACTTGCAACTGACTTCAACATTCTCCTGATCAGCATCATTGCAGCCTCTCTTGGCGTAATAGTCATCTTAGTCATAATTGCCGTGGCACTGTATCTAGTAAAGTCCAGGCGCAAGAAGAAAGGGCAGAACACTGATACTGTGGATTCAGGCACTGCACTGCAGCAGTTGGATGAATCCAAATCTGCTGGTGGAGAAAGGATCTACCACCAGACCCTTCCTGGGTATGCTGGCGATCAGGGTGGAGGTGGAGGTTCCTACACCAGAGGGGGCTCCTTAGATCCATCACACTCCAGTGGCAGAGGATCCGCAGAGGCTGCAGAGGACGATGAGATCCGGATGATAAACGAGTATCCTCGAGTGGCTAGCATCACCTCTTCCATGCAAGAGCACATCTCCGCCCGGGGACCTGATTCCGGAATCCAGCAGGACGCAGACCAGCTCTCTGACATCTCCTGTGAACCAGGGGCGCTGGATGCCAGCCAGTGGTTCAAAGGGAAGAAGCTGGGGAGCCTAAGTGGCACGTTGCTCTCAGGGCAGCTTCCAATCTACAGAGATGAAGGTGGTGGCTACCTTGGAGTAGGCAGAGGGCTGAATATATCCCATCCCAAGGATTATGCCTTCCCTGAGGATGGCAAACCTTCGGTAGATGGGTCCCTCACAGCCATTGTCGCAAGTGATGAGGAGTTGCGAGGCAGCTACAACTGGGACTACCTTCTCAACTGGTGCCCGCAGTTCCAGCCTCTTGCTAATGTCTTTACGGAAATCGCAAGACTGAAGGATGAGAGCATACCCCCTAACAACCCACGGCGACCCTTCCAACCCAAAGCCAAGACAGATCCTAAACCAAGAATTGATCCACCCCCTCTCATTACCTCTGTAGCTCACCCTGGTGCCAAGTCTGTTCCACCAAAGCCTGCCATCGCACGGACGTTTCCACACCTAGCGTCCCTAAGACGCTCTCCTATCAGCCACGAGGGCTCCATTTCATCAGCAGCCATGTCCCCCAGCTTTTCCCCTTCCCTGTCCCCTCTGGCAGCCCGATCACCAGCAGTTTCCCCTTTTGGTGTCACACAAGGTCCCTCAGCCTCCATGATTAGCACCACAGAGCACTCCTTGGAGCACAATGATGAGGCAGAGATGAGGATCTAATTCTGCCATATTGTGGGGAGCATTGACCTCTTGTTTGGAAAACGCATGCAAACCACTAAAGACGTTTGAAAAAAAGCGAAAAGGGACTCGCTTCATAGCTGTCTGCGTGACACAGGTTTCTGGTAACTGACGTTAACAAGGGTTAAAAAAAAAACTGCGTTGCTGTGAAATGACGATACCCTTCATCAGAGCCAATGTAGAGTTTTGAAGATTTGTATGCTGTTTTGTGTCACCTCACTGGCTGGCCAGTGAGATAAGGCTTTAGTGCTCTTTTGTTTTTGATACTGATGAATGACTGCTTTGAAACACCAGTGTCTTGCAGAGTCTGTCCAAGATGGCTGCTATCACCACACTTTCTGGACCCCGTTTGAACTGTCTGAAAGATATTTCACTGCAAACGCACGCGGTAGCTGACTTATATACGCAAATGTATTTTTAACTGTTCCCCTGCATCATATTACATGTTCTTTAGTTTCTGAAGAAGAAAATGCAATTACCTCGCATTTAAGAGGCGCTCACTGCATTTACATTCTGTATATTTGTATGTATTCTAGCCATAGTGTGTAAGCCTTATTGTTGTATAGTGTTTGATATCATCAGTATGTATGGTTGTCAATTTTGGTGTGATTCTTGCTCTGTGATGTGAATGACTGGGGAGTGTTGTGTTTTGATAATTATTTATACTAAGGTCGATTCATGAAGATGTTGAGAGTACCCATGTTGCATAATATTATATTATACTTTTTTTTTTTTCTACCTTTGTTCCCTTTGTTTAACACTAGATCTTCCAGCATCATAGTGGAGCTTGACATGGAAATGTTTGAGGCTTATCTTGAGGCCTATTCAGTAAAAATGACTGAAAATACAGCAAAGAGACTTCATGTGATAAGTTTTCCTGCACAGTGCCAACTGAAGAAAAACAGTCCTTGCTCAGTACTTTTTGTATGTTAGCTTGTTTGTGATTATTCTGACTCTAAGTATGGGAGATTTGATCATTCGGTTCCTCTGGCAGGTAAAGAAACGTCCCTGTTAGTTGCAATTTTGACTAGTGTCTTCAAGTCATGTGCTTCCATATTTACCCAAAAGGTCAATGAAATTGAAACCCCAGGGAAGCTGCCCACACCTGTAGTGGCCAACAGTATTGGACTCACTATAACATGAGATACATACATTCTGGGATAAATCTTGGACATTTAGAAAAGTAAAAGCTTTAATATTCTTTCCTATCCCTGTACACTCTCCGCTGCAAAGAAGATTACAGCAAATGGACGTCCTCCTATTTTCCTGGACATCCACCTGTCTTCTGAGGACTGTTTGGCTACCTCTGGTGCATGCCTAATACCAACACTGCCTCAAGCTGGAATGGCCCTCTTCTAGCCCTCAGTACACATTCAAGGAAAAGGAGGGCGTGAAATGGTTAGACTGTCTAATGCAGTTACGATTAAAAGTTGACCTTCTATTGTTTAAGAGTGTGGAATGAGTCCATTTTGAAACAAGTTTGACCCAAGACAGCTGCCAAACTCCTGGCAGCAGAGTGGTAGAAATCATCTGTACATATATTTAAAGGAACCATTAAATTCCTACTGATTTCTTTTGTCAAACTATTCGGTCTTTCCTTCTTTTTTCCCGTGGAAGTTGAATGGAGCCCTGGCAGGGGATATAAAAAGCAACTGAAGCCTAAACAAGCTCTAATCATCTGACTTTCAGGAAAGACTTGCAGAGGTCAAAGTCAAATTTGTCCTTCATTAAAAAGCTATTTGCCTGGAAATAGTATGTTCCAGTGGCCAGCACTGGCCTGAGACTGTGTACAGCTGAGAGCAGAGGGTGTGTCCAGTGCTTAAGCATGGCCATCAAGCACATCAAGGGATAGTTAGGAGGAATTAAGTACTTTTAGAATGAATGTATATTTTAGGGAAGGAAAATAGATCAGTTGCGTCTGCTAGTGCATCTGGCAGGTAAACAGATGGCGAAAGAGGGACAGAACCTACGTACTCAATGTATACAGTGCAACTTCTCGCGGTTAACTGTGTTTGGCAGCGTGAAACTCTCACATGAACTAAAATTTACACTGCGTGTGGACCTCACCAGATACCGTGCTTAAAAATGCATATAATGTTGATTTATGTAATTGCAATATGTTGTTCTCATATGGTGGCCAGGCTTGTTTGCATAGCTGTGCAAGGATTTCTGCTCCATTAATGTGCCACAGAGCAACAAGGAGCACAATTGTTTAAGAGGAATATTTGGAATATTAGAGGATGCATATGACCGAGCTATTTATGGAAAATTAGCAACAATCACAAGGATTTGTTTGTGCAAGTTGGAATGGACACGCTTTTCAGTTTTAAAGCCGAGATGTTAACTTTTACCGTTAAGCTCATGTTGAAGTTCTATGGTTTGTTTCTTTTTTGGTGTCAGTTACAGCTTTATTGAACAGTTCTGTGGAGAAGCATGAAGGAGGCTTTTCATCACGGCTTTCACATATGGCTTATTCGAGGTACAGTGCCAGAATACAGTAGAAGAGTATGCTAGAACGTCCGGCTCTCTGACATTTAATGTTATTTCTCCAGTGTACCATGAAGAATTTGAATCATGTGACTCAATGGCTATGAGGCAGGTTATCACTGCACCATTACTCTAACTCAGACTCGAACTTCCTGAATCCTTAAAGAATATTGTTATTCTTGCTACGTCTGCCTTGTCCTGCATTGTGAACCTGGGAGGAAAATGGTTTTCCAAGCCTATAGAGAGCTCCTGTTACTAAGACTTGCATGGGACGCATGATATGTGTCCCAAAAAGTTCATTTTTTACAGAATGTCATTACTGATTATGATGGTGTTTAAGTGATCTACCCATTATTTTGACAATTAATTGAATAATCAGCACCAGAACAATCCAAGTTTTTATAAAAAAGGCCAGTCAATAAAAATAGACTCAACTGCACAATAATATTCATTGCATAGCCTTTCAAATACGCCAGAATCTCCACAGAAATACACAGGTAGTAGAATTAGTCATACAAAAAACTCAGTGACTTTCAAAATTGCTCTGTCATAAGATGCCACCTTTCTACTAAGTCAGTTTTCCTCCCTGCTAGAGCTGCCCCGTTCGGCTGTAAGTGCTGTTATTTATATCATTTCATTTTATTAAGACGTTTTATACCTCTAAAACAACATTATTCACACCTTAAAAGGGCAACGCCATGATATACATAAAACAGAAATAGTCAGGGATAACATAAAAATGGCTGCTATTTGGTCCCACAAATAGAAAAACAAACCAAATTATAATAATGGAATTTGAGTCTTGGAGATTAACTCAGGGGTCGGCAACCCAAATATTAAGAAGAGCCATTCTATCCTTTCAGCAAAAATCAAACCACCTTGGGAGACTCAACATTTTATGTCCATTTAATTTAAGTAACGTTTTAGCTTCTTGGATGTAAATATGTCTCAGTATGTGTTAATGTCCTAATATAGGCTAAAAAAATATATAATATAAATCAAAACGCAGATAGTTTGCTCTGCTTAAAGCTTCAGCTCAACTATGACCGCTTCTCTCGCAGGATACTTTTCCACAACAGTAGAGTTTTGTTAGCTACCAGCTAGGCGTGATTGTTGACGGTGCTATGCCGGCAGTCTGCACGCCCTCTAGCGTTTGAGAAACCTGGAAGACATTTCAGAGTGGTCATTCTGCTCTCTACAAGTTCTCTGGTTACACATTAATTTAATCAGATGCATTCCCGCTGGGAAGAAAATTCCTGGTGAGAAATCGCCTGTGTGCTTGTTTTTATTTAATCCCCGTATCTGTGCAGTCAGAGTGTGTAGAAAACACTGTTTGGTCTTTGTGATTACTGTCTATCTGTGACGAAAACGGCGCCACCATCATTCAATCACTAGTAGGAACAGTTATCTAGCAACCAAAACTGGAGTGTACGGTTTCACAGTGGCGGAGATAAAGCGCGTACTACGCTGCTCGGTGCTCAATTCCTATTGGTAATCGCCACATCGCTTCATTCCTTATTTGCATAGAGCTCACTTCGTGTCACCAATGTTCGCACCGCCTTCTGTCGCCGGAAATCGCCAGCTGTCATTGAAAAGGAATGACATCCGGCTGCTCTGTCGCATCGCGTCGCTGCCGGTGTGAAGGCCTCAACATACTTCTTGCGGAGACGACGTTCGCCTGGCCTCAGCGAACAACATGACGTAATTGTGGAGAAAACGAACAACCGCAGACGTCATGAGGAGGTGGCAGCTGGCCGAACTCCGCGGACGAAGACGTTACACGACAAAGCCTCTGATTGTTCGGTAAAAAAGAGGCATGCCATGAAACAAAGATGGACATCTTTGAAGAGCTTTGGCTTCGGCAGATGCACTAATATTCCACTGTGAAACGCGTATTTGTTACATAAACAGTGAATATCTCCTAAACATCAGATGCTAAATACTAGTACTAAGCACCGAACATATAGGTTATCTTATATTTAGATTCACAAGAGGACGAGGCTGAAGTTGGCTTCCTATTCACCAGCTTCTTGTTTGAATTTCCCCGTTCCACCTTAAATTGTGGCAGAATTCTGAACTCAAATGTCGCCATAGTTAGAACAGTGAAAGAATAGTTTTCCGGCAGTTATAAAGCATCACGTGGAGCGTCTGCGACAGGCAACACGAAGCCACAGTAAATATGCGAGCTTGTAAGTTCGCGAAGGAGCTTTCGGCTTCGCACAACCCTCGAGAAGTTCGTTTCGCAAGAAGTGCGCTGAGGCCTTGAATGCAGGGTAACAGTGACGATAGGCATTACTATCACACAATCTGCCAGTTCATCATTTCCGATTTATTGCGAAGGTAAATCGCACGCGGGGTTGAATAGAGCTGTTTTAGCGTTCCCCCAGTATGATGGTGAAGTCTGAGATTTTACTTCAGTCTGTTGGTGAAAACTGAGGATTGCGTTGTTGACTCTCTGAGGAGTTTTGAGTGCGATAGCCAAGACAATAAGTGTGTCTGAATGTTGTATGTAGCTGTATTTTCTTTCCCCCTCTCTCTTCCTCTCTCTCGTTCTCTCTCACTCCAGCTGTTTGTCCTGAATCTGATCTGTCTGGCCCCATGCTGTGCAGTTGCTGTTGGCTGAAGCTCAGCTCCCCTGTACCTCACTACTACAGCTCATGTCTCACAGATTTACACTCGGCTCTGATAGCACCAATATGATTCACTTACGGTCAGACTTTCGTGAACTATCGCACTACCAATAGCATGCAGCTATTGGTGACCTAGTAAGGCACTGAATTTGCCTGATTTAAAGTGTCTACATCATTTCCACATGAATGAAACACAGTACATTAGCCAAACGTATGTGGATACCTCTTCTGATTAGTGTTTTGGCTGTTAGGGGCCATGTCCATTGCTGGCAGGGGCATAAAATCAAACATGCATTCATGCATTCATCTCCATAAGCAAACACTGATAGTAGAACTGGTCGTACTGAAAAGCTCAGTGTCTTGTGATGTGGCACTGACATGTCCAACTTTCCAAGTTTGTCAGTTATTCCTCTGCTAGAGCAGCACCCTGTGTAGATATGAAGGGGTCATTCTGAGCTACCAAGCTAACGAATCCCATTTCACCCCTCGCCCCTACCACTTAGCCCTTACCCCTCCGTTTTGCACATTCACGTCTAGGGGTAGGGTGTCCCGATTTTAGTTGAGATAGAGGGGTAGGGTGAAGTGTTAGGGTTACGTGGCCCTCCAAACAGAGGCTTTAAAGAGACTCCAAACAGAGAGTTAAGAGATAAAAAGAAAAAAACGGCAAGTTGGCCGAACAAGAGACCAAAGAAACCCACAAATGTGAGAATTTTATCTGTTAAAAATTACAATAATCACTGTTTTATCTGAGTTTAATGTCGTTTGAGTGTCCTTTTCTTCATAACAACCATAAAACATTGCTAGTAGTAGCTGATATTTCGGTAGTTAGCCAGCTAAATTTCCCGCTCCACCTTAAATGGTGCAGTAGTTCCGACACCTGAGGCAACAGAATGTAACTGCTGCACCATTTAAAGTGGAACGGGAAAAATCGAACAAAAAGCTTCAGCTTCAAATCAACAAGGAATTATGGGTGGGCGATAATAAGTAATTCTCTCATCCCCCCTCTTTGAAGGCATATGATGCCCTAAATTTAACCTACAGAGCAGCACTAGTAGCTGTTAATGAAGTAATGCTCTTTTTATTTGAGGGTCCCATTTTGTGGGGAAGATTTCAACCACTACCCTCTAACTCAGTTCTAAGGGGCGACACTTGAAAACAAGGGGTAGGGGTAAAAATAAAATGGGATTGGGCCTATATTCCCATTTCAGCTAATAGATCCCCCTAAATCTCACACAGTGCACCTTTAAAGAACAATGACCAACTATGTGTTTCGTTACACAGAGAGAATTAGTCCTTTTCACTGGAAATAGTGCAGCGTAGTGTGTGGACTGTTTTTGATGGTATGTTTTTTTTATTGTGGCACGACTGGGACTTTTTTTCGGTACAACGTATCAAACTTGAATATTGTGATGCATATTATGTACCGGGAAATGCCCTGGATCATCATGATATGGTATTTTTGCCAA